CACGATACAGGCTGTTACTGCAAATTCCAATTAGCCATTATAACTAACATGGTAGTGCGTCATCACGTTTACATTAATAGTGAGCCAAAGAGAAACAAAAAAAAAGAAGAAGAAGGAATGACAAAGACAACAGAAGACGACATAAACAGAAATTGAAATAGGGAAAAAAAAGAGGATGATGATGATGATGACGAAGAAGAAGAAGACGAGGAAGAATGTTCATCCATTTGAGTCTAAAATTAAAAAAAAATTGTTTGTCATCGTGAGCTTGTTGCTTAGTTGCGGTCGATCAAAAAAAAAAGAATAAACGACCGAAAAGAGAATAAGAGGGACACAGAGAGGGAGAGAATCTCAAACAAGCAATGCACGCTACTATTACTAACGATGAAAGAGTGACAAGCTCGCGCTCACATATATTCACGCGCATGCTCACTTGTCCGCAGATAATGGACGCACATGCACGCAGGGCAATTCTCATGAGAGAAAGAGAGAATTTCTTCCGGCTTGTTTCACATATAATATATATATGTAATATATATATATATATGAGAGTACTAATAATCTTCAAAACATTTTCGAAGGGAACAAAACATCTACTGTCAAATCGATTCGTGTTTTTCTTTTTTTTCTTTTATTCATAAAAAAAAAACATCCGAAACATTCTCGCTTTTTTTATATATCTAAACATGCAATTCTCAAGCATTAAATAGTCATTTATTACTTCAAAGCAAAAAGAAAACTCATTAATATAATTTCTTTTTAAGAAGGATATCTAGTATATTAGCTAGAAGAAGAAAATGAATGAAGGCTTAATAAATATTGTTTATTATAGAAAGAAACTAAAGGATATTCTTGACATTTTCGATTGTTTAAAATTACGTCAATAAGAAAAAGAATTCATCAATATAAATTATTCACAGATGTTATTTTATTGTACAAACTAATACATTCATGAGAATTAAAAGGCATATGCTCTTTTTTTTATTTTTCGTTACTATTACAAATATTTTATTCATGTCTTATCAAGCACTGAAAATCTGTGGATTAAATATCTGTCGTTTTTTGTGCCTTTTTGTTATAATACAAATTTTTGTTTTTTGACACCTGGGAATTTTTCTTTTTTATTAATATATTTTCTTGGAAATAAGAAAAACAGTATAATTTTTTTCTTTTCTTTTCATCTATCATCCAATTACTTAACACAGTTCGTCTTGAATGAACAAAAACAAAAAGGAATATATTGATTACTTAACATTTTTCTAAAATTTAATTAAATATATTACGTGTTCTATTTTTGTTAAATGCAAAGAAATATTACATAAAAAAAAGAATAGAAATATTGAACAAAAAGTTAATAAACTGAGTTCGTTGTTTCGAAATCATAATTCTGTATAACTATAATCTCGATTGATTCCAATAGCTCGAAAAAATAACGGACATATAAAAGATATATTAAATCCAATAGCATAATAAGTTAAATAATAATAGGGCATTTCAACTTTTGCTAAACGTTTTGTCTCAGGATTTTTCCAATCAAGTCCATAGATTGCACATGTTATACGTAAAACAAGTGTTTTAACAATTTGTCGTGTAGCATAAACGAATAACATGCCAATTATTGTCCGTACAATACATAAACCTAAATTAGGTGCTATAATAGCATAAATTGGTGGTGTTAATGGTCTTTGTAAAAGGCCTATTTGATGCATAGCAGTTGTTGCTGAACATAAACCAAATGCGCTACCTAATATAACGGTTGTATCTGAACGAGCTGTTGACCATTGTTTTAAACTAGGATAACATTTGATTAAAATGATTCCAATACAAAAATTAAGTATAGGAGAAAATGAATAATTTAATTGAAAATTATCAATTGCATCCACATATGGAAACATTATATAAACCAATAACAAAGCATATAATGTACCGGTAATAATATCCTTAAAAAAAAATTTTTTTGTAATGATATTGAAGATTTTATAATTTTTATGAAAATTTATGTAAATGTTTTTATATCAAATATTTATCAGCTGCTAGAATGACTAGATTTTATTTGAACATGTTATTCGATCATATATATATCTGATACTATGTAAATATAAATATGTAAAAATAATTAGGATAAATTATTTTATTAGTAAATAAATTTAGTGATTAGTTTTATTATGTTTTTTTATACATATGTTAAATAGGTTGTATTAGTAAATAAAAGTAAAAGTCATATATAGACGAACTAATTACTATATCCTTTTGTAATGAGCTTGTTTGCAACAAAATTTCAAATGTCAAAATGTCACTTATGCTTTCCTGTTTCCGTCGATAAAAACACTATTATTTTTTAAATAGATCTGTGAAGTACAACAAATTAGATTTTTATGTTTATCCAGAGACAATTAACTATGTCAAACGATTCTCAATTTTCTACAAACACTATGCAATTTTTATATATTATTTTTTCTTTAGATATACTGCAGACATTAACTGTGCTCTTGATGAAAAGTGCCAATTTTGACATAAAGTGACTCTTGAGACAAAATTATCAGTCAAAATACATCGATCATTGTAGATATACACAATTTCTATGATAGTGTTGTCATATAAAGAAGAAAAAAACATGATTTCATCCTTTATATTCGGAGATATCAATTAGAGAAAAAATGATTCATTTTCGTCACCTTTTACTGACAAATTTTTTTTTCACATACTGATAAAAAAATCTTCTATTTAGTCATATTAAAAAGTTTGAAAAGGAATAGATACATGCACATGTAATCTTAACGAATGATAAAATTCTTGTGACTTGATTCAATACGATAGTATTGAAGTGATACACATAACTACAAAAGTAAATATCTTCTATATGACGTACAAAGACATTGTACTTTTTAAGTGGCATGCAGTATTCTATAAGCATTTTTATAATGATAAGCTTTGATCATACCATTAGCTATGGCACAAACATAAAAAATGTAGGTAAGGAAATGGAAATATGACCAGATCAAATGCTGTATACAAAGTCATGCTTATCTAAAAACTATACTAGAATAGGAAATACTATCAATGCAAGAATAATAATATGAATAAAACTGAAACCTTACATATGAGAAATTCTGTAACTAAAGAGTTTACTAAAAACATAGTTCATATATAATAGTTCGATAGGGATAGATCAATGTACTGAATTACTTACAAGGAATGTATGCATGCCAAGATAGATTCGACTAAGACACACCCAAACACATACAATTGCTGCACAACTCAATCCAAGCCATAGATTAAACTAAATAAAAAAAAACGAAAATAAATATGATTATTATATTTTAAATTTACATCATATCGTTGAATTGATAGAAGTACAAGTGATAGTGGTATACCAGCTGCAAACATTGCATGTGTAGAAGGAAAACCATATTCTTCAACATAACTAATCAAGAATAGATTTAATTAAAATTCCTAGTAGAGAAAAAAATAAATTTACCGTTTTTCTAATTTTAATACTGGTGGAGATGCTGGTCGTGGTATCGCTAAAATATCTTTTGTTGCTTGTCCGATATACATAAAAAATGCCCAAAGAATTGAAATTTTTCTTGCTACAGCCCCATCAACATTCCATATCCTTAATAAAAGATTAATTTTGATTTACTTAACAACAATTAAGATATTTTACCATGTTGGAAAAAATAATATATAAAAAATTTCATTACCAAGTGCTGCTCCAAATTGAAAAAAATAATACCAAAACCATGATGTTATTTTATAATCAAGTTCTGATGGATGTTCTTTTGTATATGTATTCTGAGTTGTACCATGTTTATTTTGATGAGCATTATGTTTAATTTCATTCATACATTCATCCAAAACATTCGAATCATAACTATTTTTTCCATTGGTATTTCGTTGAACATTATCGTCATTTGAAAAAGTATTATCAGTATTATTATTATTATTATTTTTATTTAAATTAGTCTCATTAAGTGTTGGTATTACATCAGGTGGTCGATCTATTTTAGGTACTATACCAAAATATTGTTGAAATCGAGCAACATGTTCAGGTTCATGAAGCCAAATAACATATGAGCGTAGATAATTCCACATTGATTACAATAATAATGAACAAGAATATAAAAAGAAAAGAAAAGAAAAGAAACAAAAGCAAATGATATATAATATTGTTTTCTCTTATCAAATTTCAGACGTAATTCATCTCTCTCGTCTCGTTTTTTTTTTGTGTAAAGATAACAAAGAAAAACGAATTACGTAGGAGAATGTGTACAGATAGTTTAAGAAGAAAAATGATGTCTTTATCTTATTTAACGATTATGTAGACATATGGCTCATTTATTTCTCTAGATACAATGAATTGAAAAGAAGAGAAGAGTGTATTATTTGATCCGCAACAGAAAAATACATAAGAGATTAATTAATCGAACATGTTGCAAATATAATCTATTTAATCTAATTGTTCGGGCAATCGTTTTATGTCTCAAGAGTATATTATGTTGTTTTTTTTAAATGAAATTTATTTGTAAAATTCAATTAATATAAAAGATTTTATCTTGTTTTCTATAATTATCTCGTATATTTTTAAATGGTCTCTTCAAATAAGAAGGCAGTAAAATGATGACATCGTATCTTTTTAATGAGTAAAATTATCTATAAAAAGTATATATGTTATATTTGAATGAATATCATTTTAACTTTAGTCATTGTAAAGTACCCAATCTTGTCTGGCTGATTCATCGTTTAGAATCATTGGACTTGAATCTTAACACTATACTAGGTCAATATTATGTTGGATTGGATAAAGGAAGATTTATGTGCGACTACTAGCGCCATATTTTTTGAAGTTTTAGTAAGAAAGCGATATGAAATCGACGAATATCTAAAATATTTGTTCATTTAATTTTGCTTTATTTTTTTTTCTCATTACCTTTGCTGTTATTCGTTGGTATTGTTGTCATGGTAAGAGGCAACCTTTATGGTGTCAACTAACCGCTTCTTTTTTATACAACGTTGACATCAATATGAATGGAAGTGAATTAAAAGGAGCATTTCGTGGTGAAACACGTCGAAGTTTAAGATCAGGTATGAATTATTGAACAAATATAAATAATAATAATATGATCAATTAAGGTTTTGGTGTTTATCAATATTCAAATCCATTCTTTCGATATGAAGGAACATGGCATGAAGGCAAAAAACAGGGTAATCATCTATAATAATTTTTAAACTAATCGATTGTTTTTATTTTTTTTTAAAAGGTTTTGGTAAATTATTATTTGGTGATGGTTCATATTATCAAGGAGAATTTGTTGATAATGAAATAACAGGACAAGGTACACGATATTTTGCAACATCACGTAATACATATACAGGTCATTTCTATTATGGTAATATATTAATCAATTTTATTTTTCGATATTTAATAGATTTCTTATTATTTCTAGGTGAAATGGATGGACATGGACGATTAAGGTAGATTAATAGTTCTAATCAAAGCAAAATCTATTATCATGTTGATTTATATGACATGATCTTTATTAAATAGAATACTGTTATAATATTTTTCCCATTTAGATTGGGTAATGGTGATTGTTATGAAGGAAATTTTAAATCAAATACTTTTGAAGGCGAAGGTAGTTATCTGTCGTATGATAAACAATTATATACTGGTACATGGCATAAGAATCGTCGTCATGGTCAAGGAGAACAAACATATACTGATGGAACTCGTTATTCTGGTGATTGGATTGCTGATAAACGACATGGTTTTGGTAAATTAACTAATGGACAAGATGAATCACTTATCTATGAAGTATGTTTCTATTTGTTATATCTTAAAAATTGAATAAAGTCTATATTTATTTATTTATTTTGTAGGGTAGTTGGAGAAATGATTTAATGCATGGTGAAGGTACATATAGTATTGGTGAAACTTATACATATCGAAATGCTATGTTAATTAATAGTTATCCAACTGGATGGCCATTTCGATTATGTATTAATAAGGATAAAGCATCAACACTTCTACTTACTGAAAATCCAATAACAATAACTATTGATATTGTTGATTCTTCTGAAAATAATAATAATCGAGTTAAAGCTGATTGTGGACGTTTAATTCGATTACGTTGTGGTCAACGAACTGATCATCCAACTAGTGATAGTTTACCAACACCATTGTATGTAGTAATATAAAAGTAAACATAATCCAACAGAATATTATTTTTCAGTGGTTTTCATGTTAATTTGATTGCAAGAAGTACAAAAGCTTCGTCATCAAATGATCAATCAATATCAGAATTAAATGAACAATCTGGTATATCGATTAATATGAATTTGATAATTTTCAATAATCTTTTTTTGTACAGGTGGTGATGAAGTTAAAGAATCGATTGAAGATTCCATGTTAGCTGCTTCGGATGAAGGTCGAGCTCAATTTGTAGGCATTAATACTGATACATTTCCAATTCATCTTCCAAATTCATCATCATCTGTCTCTAAGTATGTACAATGATTTTACATATAATATATATATCTTACGAATAAAATGAATGAAAAAGAGACAAAAATCAGATTCTTCTATAAAACTTTCAAAATATTTCTTATTCATTCTAGTTCTCAATCATCTACTCAACCATCTGCAAGTAAAAGTAGTCGTCATAAAGGTACTATACTAGTTTCTCTTTATTTTCATATATCTATTCTTATTTTCTTTTAAACCTAGCAGAAAAATCAGCAACATCATCATCGATCATTTTTATTATTGATGATGTAACATATCCAATACCATTTGACAAAGCTCTCGATACTGTTTATATACCTGTACAGTTTTCTAACACAAATAATACTCAATAAAAAACCGATATACTTTATAAATATTAAGTTTTTCTTTTTTGTTTTCGGAATTCTTAATTTTCTAGATATAAAAATGTCATTTCTTCGAAGTTCATTTTCAATTCGAAAAACAAAACCTCGTAAAGCTGTTTCACGTTCACCACTTAAATTACCTGCTGAAGAACTTGCACGTGAACTTGGACCACAGTATCAAACAATTGATGCTCGTATTGGTAATCAAAAGATGGTATTCGATATAACACAAGGAGATTGGGTAGCTGGTAAAGTTTCTTTTCATCTTTTAATTCTATTCAACATTCTATTCTTAACTTTATATATAGATGGAACAGTCGGTCCAGCAGTTAGTTCTCGTGAAATGGGAAAACTAGAAAAGAAAAAACGAGAATTAGAAGATGATAATAATATGCTTCGAACTAAACTGGATATTTTACTTGAAATGCTTGCTGAAGTCACTGCTGAACATGATCTACGACGTACTGGTTAATAATTAATAACAGAATAATATTTTATGTTTTTTAATTGTATATTAATCACTTATAGACTTATTAGATCTGATAGATAAAGAATATTCAAATATAAACTTATTAAAAAGAAATACATATATATTGCAATATTTTTTATAAATAGAATGAAAAATATCTAACAGGAAATTATCTACTAAATGTATTCAATAATAAAAACTATTTGTTTATGTGCATTGATTATTATCAAAAAGTACACATCTAAAATTATGCGAATTTTGTCTTTCTCAATTAAAAAAAACTGATACATATGAATACTTTATTCAATATGAATCTACTAGCAAATGATAATTCATGATTTATTGTCGTAGTCTTCATGTGTATGAGAAAGAATAAGAAAACAGGTTATGAATATAATTTTGAAATCAATTTGTTTATCGAATAGCAATATTTCAAACTTCATATAAGTCCATTGATATGAGCACGAAGAGCAAATATTATCATTGCACTCAACGATATATAGTTTCGATTGTATACTCAACAATACAAATCAACTACATTTATATAATCATTGAAGTTTTATTAAAAAATAACAATTTCATTGCTTTTCAACTGATGACGTCTCCTGTCTTTATGTAAAGATAAAATGGTTATGAAATATTAGTTTCATATAACATAGACGGAAAATATAAATATACTTACATTTATTTTTATATCTTCCTGTTATTAAAATCAATTTGTTTGCATGTATCTAAGTAACAATTATTGGACAGCTGTTTTCCTTCCGAATGAAAATTTCAACATTGATAAAATGAGCAAATTATACAGCACTTACTTAATATTTCTTATCTTTCGATTTATCTTTCGTGTTTGTCATGTCATAGCTTTATTTCTTTTTCTTATACTTTCTTTATCGCATTCAACTTTGTAAAGAATAACATTTATGTGAGAATTCATTTTATCATAAACAGAAACTGAATAAATTACTGCGATTTGACTATTAATTATTCCGTATTGCATACCTATCTAGTTGTCTGACACCAGCACCACTCAATGATAGAATAAGTGCTTCTTTTAAGATTTATATGTGTCTTTAGAAATAAAATGTCGCATTTAAAACTACCTTTTCATGAAAAAGATCTATTTTCATTTCATAAAACAAAACCACGAAAAATGACTTCACGTGCATCATATGGATTCAATGCACAAGAATTGGCACGTGAATTTGGATCTGTATATCAAGAAATTGATGTTCATATTGGTTATCAACGATTTATACTAGATGTTAACCTAGGAATTTGGAAATATGGTAATATCTCATTTATTTATTACAATTGAACATTATTTTTCGTATCTTTTCAGATAAAACAACTAATACAACAATCAATCCTCAGAATGAAGCCATCTTAGAGAAAAGAAAAGAGGAATTAGAAGAAGACAACAATGTACTTCGTACAAAAATAGATATTTTAATTACAATGCTTGCTGAAACTATAGCCGAAGAAGAACTTACAGACTCGCAATAAATAAAAATAGAATTATATTTCGTTCTTGTTATTGTAATTTATTTCTTATCTGTACTCGAATTGGTAGATAGATAGAAAGTAAAGTAATTCGAGGAATGAAATTTAAAGATGCATCATTCAACTTATAAATAAAAGTTCCTAAATGTCAGTCAACATTTTTTTATAAAATATTAGTTTATATAGCTCGTTGAGCTGCTCACAATGGTATCTAGCATTTTAGTTCATATGTTGAAAGAGTTAATTTAATCTAATTTTTGAACTCTAGTATTTTTGAGATCTACTATATAGAGTATTATATCTATATGAAAATATCAAATCTCAATTAAGTATTCTAGAAATTACATTATCTATTATTACAATTTGTTTAGATATAGAAAAGTTGTAAGATATGTTTTGCATTTTTATTCCTAAGTAATTATACAAATAGATATAATTATCCTTTTATGTTGTTATCATCATCTCCTCTTATTCCTCATGTACCGTGTTTTATTTCGTTGTTTTATACTTAATAATATGTTGTTTTTGTATTATAATTAAATTTTTTTCCATTATATAAAAATAGAATTTATATTAGACATAAAGCACTTAGACAAATCTAGAATTATTTGTGAAAAGCATGTTTCCAAACATCTGTCCTACTGTCTTTAGTGTAAAAACATTATTATTTTATTTATCTTCAAAAATAAATTAAGGTAATCAATTAAAACTGTAATGATTTGTTAGTATAAGATAATATAGTCTAGTAGGTTCGAAGAAACGTAGATAATACTGATCGAGTTCTTTTGATATGTAAACTATTCTTTTTGATTTAGCTTACACTAGTTTATATCGAATAACAATCATTTATTAATGACCTATTATTATGTAATATAAACCTGTAGTGAACTACAGTTACTATCATATTTTATGTATTTATTTGATCAATTAGTTTTTTTTGTTATATATTCCGATGGTATTAATATTTTATATTAAAAAATAACATCATTTTAACAAAAAGAGAAATAGAAAAACTACCAGCCCATAGTACCAGGTTCGCCTTTGAAAGGTCCAACGATATCTTTCGTAATCCATCCACCATAGAATTGTCCTGGTTGTGGTATCACACGTTCACCATCTACTCGACATTCATCCATCTTATCAGGATAAATAGCAATATGATCTTTGATAGTAGAAAAATCAGGTTCTGTTGGTTTTTTATAGAACCAAGCTGCATTTTCTACCTTTTTACCGTTGACTTCTATTGTATAATAATTTGCTGTACCTTTCCATTCACAAAAAGATGATTTTTTATCTGAAACTGGTTTAAAAAATTCTTTTACACGAACATCTTCCGGTGGTAGATAATAAGTAGGCGGATGACTTGTTTCCAATACACGTTTAGCACGTCGAGTATCGGCAATCTTTACACCATTAGATATGACTTCAATATGTTTTGATGTATCTTCAAGACGAGGTGGTCGAGGATAATCCCATACAGATTCTTGACCAGGACCTGGAGTGATACGACGAAAATTAGAACTTGCCATTCGTTGTTGTTGTTGTTGTTGTTTGATAAGAAAACGAAATAAAAAGCGCATTAAAATATAAACATCTAAGATAAAAAAAAGAATAACATGAGAAATCTTAGAATTTTGTTTAGAGTATTTACATATCTTTTGTTTATATGTAGAACTATAAATAGAAATAATCTAGTCCTCGATATTTTTTGTTTCTATAATGTATCTTCTTTCACAATTGTTTGCAATACAACTGTTGTTTCTGATTTCATCATGAATCATAATTGTTTACTTATTCATCATGAAAATTAATCATCATTTTTAACAATTTCTAGTACATGTCGTCATCGAAACAAAAAATAATACAATTTTTGTTCCTTTTCATATAAGTGGTTGAAGAAAAAGTTGTTTTCTTCTATCTCATACATGAAACAATGGCAACAAAATAATTAAGTAATACAATATAACACTATTTCAATTTTGTTTTCAGTTTATTTTCTACTATAAGTGTAATATAACAGAGAAAAGCAAATAAAACTATTATGGAGGTGGAGCTTTAGCAATACATAATGGTTTAAGTTTCGTAAATATATCCAATGTCGTTAATTTTGATGCTTTGAAAATTGCTTTTGATGAATCAATAAATTCTACTGTAATAACTGGTTCGGATAGATCCGATTTAATTGTTGGTTTAACAAACATTTTTGGATAATGTTTAGCAACTGCATCATCTGTTATAATATGTAAAAAATCTCTTGTTGGTCTTGCATCAGCTCGCCATGGATCAAATGAAATAAGCACAGTACGAATAGCATGTAAATCAAATGTTGGCAAAAGATGTCTAATTTCCCGAGACAACCAATTTGTCATCTTTGGTTTGGATTTTTAAAATGAGTTGAGTTGATTATTATTATTATACTGGAATATAAATGGAGAAATAAACAACATATAAACAACCAATGATATGATAAATATCAATAGTGACATCAATGATGACGCTACTGAGTGGAAAAGAAAAATTTTCTTTTTAGCTGATTCTAAGATTTCCTGTAATTGCAAAGTATTGTATTAATTTTAATCGTGATAAAATTACGCTGTAGGATTATGAAATTTGATATCTGTATTTATGAAATTTTCTTTTCATAAAAATGTCAGAATTTTTCCGTTTCATTGTAAAACTGAAGAGTGTTATTAGCCTTGCAAACATCATACTTATAGTGTAAGCTCTAGCGAACGATTATGTATTAATCAAATATAAAGGCTGATTAACCTGTAATATATTGCATTTCTTTTTCTTCAAAACGATATTTTTCATTGTAATATGTATTGAGTGCACTTCATTTTTTTTTCTTTACATTCAAACTTCATTAGCGTATTTATATGCATTTATGATAGATAGATTTGTGAGTCTCGACCATATAAGTACATCCATTCCTTTCGACATCTATATAACGATAATATGCACTACGGAGTTTGTCCTTCTATCCTATATGCACGAGAAAAACGAACGAGCCGAGAGGCAGCATGGCCCATTATCTTTCCAGCACTACTGCCTTCATCACATCACATCTGTTTCCCTTCGCGCACTCGTCTGCGGCGCCGGCAAAAATTCTCCCGTTTCACATACATATCTTTTTTTTTCTTCTTCGTCTTTCTTGTCATGCTGATGGAACACATAAAAAAAAGTAGGCTAAAGCTTTGCGTATTCTTTTCTTCCTTCTCTTGTATGACTCGTAAGTAAATTCTCCACAACTAGTCAGAATCTATATGCACATCGTTTACTCAAAATTCACTATCATCTTTTGCATACAAAATTCTAACGATAGCAACAGATAAAACAGTTTGATTGAAAAGTAATACGAGAACCAATAAAATACATTTATAGATAAATATAACTCGTGATCGTAAAATTTGACATAATTATGTGAGATTAAATAGAGTTTCGTGAAAGGGTTTCTCATCATGATATATATACATGTTTGTCTATGTGTATATTGTAGAATGAAGGTGTATGCATTCTTCTCTTATTCTCACTCTCTCTCTCCATCTCCGTCTCTCTCTCTCTCACATTTTTTTTCTTTCTATCTTTTTCTCTAGGCAGCTTAATGAACGTATGCGTAGAAAGGAAGAGAGAAATAAATAGCGTCGTTATTCAGATTCTTATTTGCCCGATTACTTGACATTCTCTTTTTTTTTCTCTCCCTTTTGCTCTCGTTCGCGAGTGAATAATAGATAGAAATGGAGCGACGTCGACGATGACGACGATAGCTTCAGGCCTGAAATACTATATCTTCTACGTATTCGTCGTCGTCGTCGAAGCCGCCGTTGTCGAAGAAAAAGAGAAAGAACGAGAGAGAGAGAGAGACAGAGAGCGAATGAGAGAGAGAGGGAGATGGAGGAAGAGACAGAGAAAGCGGAGAAAAAAAAAGCCTAAGAAAATGCGAGTGCGTGCGTGCGCATACAACTTACACGCACAGGATAGGCAAGAAGAAAAGAGAAAAGGGGGCTGTTGCTCGCTCGCTCGCTCGTCTATCCTGCGCGATTCATTTTTGCGAGCAAGCGCGCAAGCACAAATGGCCATGTATGTATCACGATGAGATGCAGGACGTAACATGGAAGAGAAAAGGTGGGGAGGGAAGGGGGGAAAGAGGGAGAGCGAGAGAAGTAAAAAACATAGAGAGCGAGCGCATAAGCGAAGAAACAATCGTGTCATTTGGAGTCTCCTATCTACTGTTGCTGTTGATCACTAACAGTACACAGTATTGCTTTAGTAAAGAAAAAAAATGTACTACCAAAAAAATATATTTAAATTTTTAAATTAACTAAAATAAATAGTATATATTTACAAAAATTTCTTTGAGAATGATTTCGATCTTTTTTTCTCGTTTTGTTAGTGTTATATGTATACACACACTCACATTTATATATATCTTTTTATAGAGAACAAAATCACACAGCAAATATAGTCAGCCATATAGACGACATTAGAGGACAACGAACAGTCATCACTACTCCAATCTTTTGTGTATTATGCATACACATAGCATCTATTAATGACTCTATATATGCCTCAAGACTCGTTCTCGCTTTCTTTTGTATGCTCTTCACATCTAATAACACACCAGCTATCGACAGGAGGTACACAGCAACACACAAAAAAAAAAGAACGAAGAAAAGAGCTGTTATTGTTGTTGACTGGTTTTTCGTTTGTTATTATTATTTTGTTCGTGAGAATCAGTAAGAAATCAGAATAGATTAGTTAAGAGTTACATAAATTAATTTTTTCTTATTTTAATGTTTGCTATTTGTGACATATCCATTCATATCGTATGTCTATATTCTAGTTTTTAGATAATTATATTTAAATTCTATAATAAAATTATCTTTTTGTATATAAAAATGAATATCTATTTAAAGAAATTACTTTTGTTTTCTTTTAAGCTACATCGTATTGTCATGCAATGTCTTTTAATTAGATCGTTCTTCGAATGATTTTTTGCATTTATCATTTGCGTACGTTCTTGTTTCTTTTTTTATTATTTCATACTATTTATTTATTGCATAATCAAGAAAACAGTCGAGTGGCGACGAATATGACCTTGTAAGATGTCATAGATAGTCGATAAATGAAAAGGAAAAAGCTCGAGTAATAATAATAATTGTTGTTTTCGTAAGTTGCTTTCCGTTATTCTTCCTCCTACGTTTTTACATTGTTAACAAATGATTATCATTCTTTACTTTGTTTGTCGTCTTAGTAGTAAAAGGAAAAAAACGAATGACGACGTGGCATATGATAGTACAAAGAACGAATAAAAATACGACGTGTTCTTTTTGCCAGTTGTTTCATATAAAACGAGCGAGAAGATTTTTTTTTTATTTGATCAACGTACTCATTTGACCTTTTTTTATTTCTTTTTTTTCAGATGTGTATATTACAAATTATATATATTTCTACAATATCTTTACGTAAATGATATCCTTGAAAGATATGAATATCGAATAGATGTATTTTTGTACTTATTTTCTTTATTCGATTATCAACATGTTTATTACAAAAACAAAACAACGCAGCATCACAAAAAAAAAAGAGAAAAAAGAAATAAAAGAGAAAAAGAATATTTATTTTAACACGTGATCTTATCATCGTTTAAGCGCGTGTACGTGCAGAAAGAACGAAGGAAATGATGACTGACGAGATCATTCATATATGGATTCATCATCATCATCATCATCATCCAAAATCGTTTCGATCATAAGAAAAGCTATACGTGTGTTTGTGTTATTTTTTTCGAGTCAGTTATTAGGATATATATAAATGAGCGCATTTTTATTTTCATTTTAAATCAAAACAAAGTTTTATGTTTCTAGATTCGATGAATCGTCCTCTTTTTCGAGCACGAAATCTTGATCCCAGTAAACGTATACGACTCCTTGTCGATCAACATGATGATAATAACAATACTCTTACTAATCCATCATCAACTTCATCTTCGTCTAGTAACAATCTTCTCGTTTCTCTTTCATCCACATCTAATATCCAAACATCTCAACAGTCAACAGTATCAAATTCACAATTACCACAACGATGTGTACCACAAATGCCATTCGTATCTGGAATGGAACGAGAAGAAGAATCGGTAGAATAGAACAATTCAAAAAACCAAAGTACTTCATCATCATTATTATTTAAATTTTCTTTAGGAATATCATCTTCAAAATGCTCTCGATGCTCAAAGACGACTTGGTTCAGCTAAAATTCGTGCTGTACCAATTCCTGATGTATATGAAGATCCAAATAGTCAATCCATATATCCATCTAATATTCAATTACCTAAACAACTTATTCGTTTACAACGTATATTAAATTATTAAGAACTTATCGATATATAATGTTTGTTTTTTTGAAAAACTTATCTTTTAGCTTTACAACTTGAATCCGATGAGCCAGAATATGATATGGATAAAATCGATCATGATTGGTTTAATAACTATGGTCGAATATCTTGTCCGAATCTTACACATCTTGAATATGAAACAATTGTTGATAAACTTGAGAATGCTAGTACACGAACGCTTATTTCATTCGATGAAGCACAAATATTACTTCCGAATATCGATAATACACATATAAAAAATGTTTATAATTTTTGGAATGAACGACGAACAACAACGGTAGATTTTCTATATTTATATATCTTTTCTTTTGTTGAGCAAAAAAAAATAGAATTTAATATATTAGATATTCATTATTCTAATATATTAATTATATTTTTTTTTGAATTTGGCCATATTTTGTTTTTTTTCCCCCTTCTTTATCAAAATTAATTAGGAAAAACGATTGAAGGCACGTTTGCTGACGGAACGTGATATCAAAGAAGAAAAAGGAAAACATCATCCCTATGTGGCATTTAGACGGCGAGTTGAAAAAATGACCACAAGAAAAGTATGAAAATAAATATTTTCGAAAAAAAAAACAATCTAATTTTAATTCTTTATTTTTGTTTTTAAAGAATCGAAAGAATGATGAGCAGGCATATATGTCTATGCTCAAGTTGCGTTCAAATTTCGAAGCCGTCGTGTATGTTATATATATATATCTATTTATTACCGATTCTATAATCGTTTTTATTTAATAGCAAGTTAACAAGTTTGATCAAAGTCCGCGAAACGACCAAAGCATCATTGCTCGAATGCGCTCTGTCCATTTTCAAAGCACGGTACGCTTCCTGTCCACTCCTCGGTAGCAACCGGAGAGTCTCGTGTAGTGAGCTCTGTGTGTTGTCTGCCTTTTTATTCTATGATCGTCCAGATGTGAATCGAAGCCGGATGATGAAACATCAGCTACGACGTCATCGACCTACTCATCTATCACATTGCCGACAAATCACGATCGACATTCTCATCATCATGCTCGTTCCAATTTGAAAACATTTCTATCGAAGAACAGTAATAGTAGTTTAACAGCTGCTCAGCATCAACAATTGTTGACACAAATGATTCGTAATGCAAATCTTAACAAAAAACCATTGACAACATCAACACTAACTAGTCTTCTTCAAACACCTATTCAGTCACAACAATCACGATCATTATCATATGATTCAAATGATCCTTCACAACCCAAATTAAAACGGTTTAAAGGATCAGATTCTTCGGTGAATAATAATAATAATAATTCATCGTCGAAAAAACTTTATCGAAAACTAAATCATGTAAGTTTTTCTAATAAAAGAATTTTTTGTTTCTTATCTTTATATTTCAAAATATTCATTTTTCTAGACTGACAAATTAACACAGTTGTTGTCATCACCAACAACACCCTCATCTCCTACTGTACATAATTTGACATTGACACCATCCACAAATATACCACAATCTATACTTGAACGGTTGTCACCAGGAAATGTTTACTCATCTCAACAACAACAACAACAACCTGGTCGACGTCGTCCAAAAAATTCGATGTCAGGAACAATAAAACAAGGAAAGAATCATAAAAATCTTCCACTAGCAGATTTATGGTCCCTTGCAGAAAATACAGCAGGTGGTGCAATCTTGCTTAAAGCTCAACTTCTTGAAGCAGCAAAAAAATTGCAACAAAAAGAGGTAAGAAATTAAAAAAACAAAATCATTAAAATATTAAATATACTAAATGTGTTTTTTTTGTTTAGGAGCTTGAAAATAGCACTAATCGTCGTGTTATTTTGCAAGATGGTTCATCTATATTGTCAAATTCAAATGAAAATATAAATAATTCATTTGATGGAATTGGAACGAGTATTGATGATGAAGAATCCAGTGATCCTTGGCAATTTCGGCCAAAAGTTGGATGTAGATATCTAAGGGTATATATATCTATATATTATAAATAGTATAAATGATTTTATGTATAAATCAAAATTTTTTAGCCAATTGACCAGGATCAACAACAGCGAGTACTACCTCAACGTTCGACTTTTTCATCATTTTATTATGTGGCTTGTTCTGAACGAGGCCATCTTGGCAAACGACGTGTACGATTAGGAAGAGGCGGAAGGTATACATATATAGATACAAAATTTATTTAAATTAACAAAACATTCTACATATGTAAATATATATACATTCTATAGATTGCTTTATGATCGTCATACTGAACAGGAGAATAAAGAATTGACTGATGAAACATTTTTAGCATCACATATCATAAATAAGTATGTAGTTTATAAAACGTAAGTATTTATAATTTAAAATTTGTTTGTTTTTTATTATTTTAGACCCGTGTTATGGCGTCTTTCATCTCGACCATTACTTAAAGAATCATATCGTCTTCATTCATATTTAACAGTTAAAGATCATACGATGTCACTAGCACATCATTATCAATCAAAATCATCAGCTAATTCATCAATTCATTTAAATGATTCATTGTATCATGTAAATAATTCTTTATCGTTGAATACTGGTGGTAAACATCCACCCACGTCGTCATCCTCTATTGAACTTGATCATCCATATTCATGTTCATCACGTCGTGTTAATCAAGCGTTACGTACATTAGCTGAACCACAACCACCATCACCATCATCACCACCACCATTATCTTCATCAAATTCAATTTCGACATCACAACAAATGATGCTTATATCAACACCGCCTACACCACCACCATCATCAACGATAAATAATAATGATATAGATATGTCGCAACAAGAACAATCCGAACAACAACAACAATTCTTTACAAAATCATCTTCATTTGTTCTATCTCCAACGACACCATTTTTTTCTCCACATCAACCATCGTATGTTATTCCATCAACACCTCCACTACCAGCATCATCATTATCATCTCAACAATCAGCGTCATCATCTTTAACAATACAACCATCATCACCAGTACCAACAAAACAAACACCATCATCATGTGGTCTTGTACAATTTGTTCAACTTCATCGTATACATCCTCCAACTAACACGCATAAATTTGCATCATCAACACCGGTGACTACATCCGATTCTTGATATATTATATATATATAAATGTGTGTGTTTCTCTGGTTTTTATCATCATTTTGGGCCTGTTGTATCCCTTTAATGTGTATGCGCGCATGCGCGTGTGTATATTTGTTCTTGTGTTTTCCTGCCCATTATTTTGGTTTGTTTGTTGTTTCATTCATTCATTCATTCATTCATTCATTCATTCATTCACGCTCGTTTTTTCTTCTCTCTTCTTCTTTTTTATGTCTGTTTGTTTGTGTGTATGTGTGATCATTATTTCTTGTTGTTCGGACAGATGGATATCGAGAAAATAAATTCTCGATGTTTTGTTTTCCTCGATTAACAATATAGGATGATCACACACAAAAAAAGTAACTAAAAAAATTAGGAAAAAATTATTTCTGTGTTTCTTTTTTCTTTTCTTTTGTGCGCGTGCGTCTATACACATTTATTGGGTAAAATATTTCTTTCGTTTATGAGAGAAATTGAATGATGATAGTGAATAAAAAACGAGTCACACATCATATACTTATATTTCATGGTATATGGAGAAAAAGTACCGAAAATCAATTTATATTTTAAATGATAAAAAAGCGAACAATTATAATTTCATATTTAAAACTATGACTAATAGCCTAGATAGAAATTGTTTGTAATTCTTAACAGAAATTATATCACCATAAATAATAATATGTTACTGATTTTTGCCTTTTTCTTTTACTTTAATCTTAAGTAATGCAAAATGACAATTTTTAATTGCAATGAATGAATATATATATTTATCGAAGATCGATATGAAGAAAAATAAGATTGATTGAAGACTTCTTAGTAAATAGTATAGAAGGTGTGATAAAACAAAATGTATTTTAAAAATACTATTGATCATATCAAATAAAATTACCAATACGAGATTATATATGTTAAACAGTCTATTATTAGTAGTTGTTATTATATTGTCACGATATTCTATCTATGACAATATTCATATGGTTTTCTTTTGATAAAAAACAGATTGTAAATGTCAATTAGTTGTATTATTAACTATTGATGAATTGTACATACGAAAGTTATTTCAAATGTTTTCTTTTATCCAAGATGAAAGGTATTCAAAACTTATTTCATGTCATTTTGAACAATACAATAACATTATAATAATGAAAAATCATTTATTATACTTACTTTTCTGTACAATGTTGAATTTAGACAAGAAATTACCAATCGTCTTTTTTAGAAATAGGTTTGTCGAGTAAAAACAATTAGTAGAAGATATTATATTACTTTATACCAATCTTACGTCTAATTAACTCTTTGTCCTAAAGCTATTCTATGTATATATGATAGCTTTTTCTTCTAACAAAAACCAAATATAAATGTATTATAAATAAATCAAATCTCGATATATTACATTAATAACAAAAAACCACCGTTGATGTTAAATAATTAGATTGTTCTAAAAATGAGATTAAATATAATATTGAAATTAGAATGTGTGACAAATCTGAAAAAGAAATGTTTGACAGTATATAGATTGCGTGCTATCGTCTGAAACAAATTGTTCTGTCATCACGATTCATTCAATCTTTCTCCCATTTTTTTTTTTGTATTTTACAATGCAGTAAGTCAGGCAATACACATGAACATCTTATATATATTCAATGCAGTCTATTCTCTATAGAAAACATTATTTAGTAGACATTTAGTTGCATGTTCAAACGAATGAAAAGATTCCATAGAAATGGTCGGATACAAAAGCAGCCAATTACAATGGAATTATATTGCATTTGGTCATCAGTTCATCATCTTGTACACATCTAATGATAAAAAGAAAAGAGTACTAGCTAGTTGAGTTTATAAAGAAACAAAAAAAGCAATTTAAAATGATATGCCTAATGCACTGTACTATGAAAAAAGTAATGTGAAGAATGGAAAAACAATCTGTTAAGTAGTTTGTTTCATCTATACAAAATTTCGTTTTTTTTTCAATTATAAATAAAAAATATTGATGCATTTGTCAATGAGTAAAGTGGTACTTCTTTAAATGGTATCTTGGTTTGTATAGTTGCCTATAACAAGAGCACTTTTTTTTTCAAAAGAGTAACAAAAGTATGTACTCATATGTTGATAATATTCGATGAGAACAATCGTCAATAGTATTAGGATGAGAATAAAATACTATTGTAAAAGATAGAATATATTTCTTATTTTATCGATTTATTTAAACAAATATTACCTTCAATTTTTGTTGGAAACTCAAATTAGTGTTAACAGTAAAATATATTGTATCTGTCTCTAGGGATACAAAAAAAAGACATGTTTAATATTTCATGTAATTTCCTTCTTATTTGTTGAAATAAAACAATTAATCAATATGAGATTATTAATATCTTAGAGTATTATTCTAGATCTAATAAAAATTTAAGATACAATTGATATAACTAATTTATATCCTTGATTAGTCGTATTGAATTTGTTAGTAATACATCATTGCCTTACTAATAATTACAGAAATATATATACATACAGTTGATGTTCTTATATTTTGATGTTTTCTTCCGAAAAAAAAAACGCTCAAACACACACGGAGAGCAAATGAAGAAAACTTAAAGTAGATGCTTTTCCCTAACTATAACGTATGGCAAAATCGTTCAAAGAAGCTTTAAATAAGAGAAGAAGAAAAAAAAACAGTACATCGAGCAAAAAACAATAGAATATCGTATGTATAATGCGTGTGTGCAAGAGAGAAAAAAAAGAAATCTAAAGTTCGTAAAATGTTTTATGAAACATATGAAAAGGCAGCGGATGATGTATTATTCGATTCTTGTTGTTGGCCAAAATGAAAAAGTCGATGTTGTTGTGGTTGTTGTTTTGATTGATCTTTATGAACGCTATCATGTGTATATCTTACAAATGTATCATATTGTTCTGTAAGTTTATTTGATAAAAGTTGTTCATACTGTTCACATATTGATCGATCTTGTTCACGTAAAAGACGAGCACACATTTGAGCAGTTTGTGTATATGTAAACATTGGAATATCATCAGTTGTCGATGATGATGATGCTAAAGCTGTAAGTGAACAGGGCTTTTTAAGAACTAATGATTGATTTTTATTTGGTGACGAAGTAAATATAGATTGTTGTTGTTGTTGTTGTTTAGATGGAGAAGATGGATTAGTTGTAAATGTTGTTGTTGATGATGATATTGGTGATGATGGTGGTGATAATTTCATTTCGGCACGTTTTCTTTTAACACCTTGTTCAACTGGATCGAATTCAAGTGAACGTTTAAGTGATGCGACTGCTAACATTATTGAATTAGTTAAGAGGAATTTGAAAAATATCAAAACAAGAATACGATCCTAAAATAAATATTAGAAGAATATTAATTGAAATAAATTTTTCTAATTTATTTTCAGACAATGATTATATGCGGAGAAATTTCTGTATTAGATTCTTTTTTTTTCTGAAAGAAAGAGGGGGGTGTAGAAACACTCATGCCTTTGTCTCATGTTTGCCGACCAATCATATGATCAAATTAATTTGAGCGAGAAAGACAGAATATATGATATAATATTTTCATTAAATTTACCTTTAAAAAAGTATAAAAAATGAAAATTTAAAAGAAATTGATATTTTTCTAATTTTATTTTTATTCATAAAAAGATACATAGATGGCACTTTTCATATGAGAATTTTCATTGGTTATAATTAAAATATGAATATATAAGTAAGTTTTAGCAGAACTTCTGCATTTCTATTTCTGTTATTTATTATTTACTCATTAAGTGTATCGTATTGATCATTTAATGAGAAAAACTTGTAAAATTAAATACATATATTCGAAAGAATATTCAATACAATTGCGAAAATACTTTTTTGATATTGATCTTTAATTAATTGTAATCAGATTTGTTTCATTTCGATGGGTAAAATATATGAAATAGGTTATGTATGGTTTTATCACATATAAATAATAGAATTGTGTATTATTCTTTATGTTATATAGAAGTCGTATAATGAATAATAGACATAACATTCTTCACTAACACTTGTATGATATCAGATAACAGTTCATTTTTTATATTAATATCCTTGGCAGAAATCAACATCTAATTGATAACATAAAAAATGTTACCTTCACAGTCTAAGAAACTTGTTAAAAGATTTTTTTGTCGTGCACAAATAATTGTTAGTTAAAAGAAGCAGCTACTATTTATGAGATTTGTTTCAATAAAATCCATTTCTATTAGTAAGATTTATAACAATCGTAAATCAAATGAATATTATCGAAAAACGAATTAAAAAGACTATTTTAGTTGATTTATAATGATATATCTTAAGAAAAATAAATCATATTCATGTACTGAATTCAAATAAAAATCGATTTGAATTGAATATTTATTCGAAGTATAAAGTAATATGAGAATCGAAATACAGTAATGATGAATATGGATATCAAATAGGATTAATAATACTTAAAAATGTTAATTATACATATGAAATCGAATATCTTTTTTGAGGTTATACTGTAACAAGAATAGCAAAAACGAATATATAAAGTTTGTAAGTTCAAAAATGTCGGACAAAGTGATTTATTTCTTGACGATTATATGTATTAATAACAATGGCTTATTGATAGAAAAATTATATGCAAATATTTTAAAAAGAAACCAATACTTTACTTCATCAGTATATCTATGGTTTCTATAAACATTCATTTATATTTATCTTATTTTTACGTGACGACTGTAATTTATTTCTTGGAAAAAATACCCACTGTTAATAATACAAAAAAATTCTCTCGGAAATAAAAAAACATGTCAATTAATATAGAAAGATAAATATTGGTACCATTGTTTTTTTTATTAATGTCATCCTGTTATTTCATCATAACATGGTGAGTTGTTATTTTGTTAGAAAAAAATATAAGTTATAGATAACAGTCAATGTCATCGGTAGAAATCGATGTCTAAATGGTGGAAGGACATATTTTTATCAGTTAACACTTCACTGTAACCTTTAAATTTTCATATCGTTTGACATATTCGTTCGACTACTTAATTATATTTTAGAAGAAAAAAAAATTTTTTTTCTATTATTTTATATACTGAATATAGTTGCGATAAAAGTCAGTTGCAGACTAAGCAACTAAATAACGCCATCTATATCCTTTGCTGATTGTCATTCGATCATGTCTCATGTCCATTTAAAAAAAATATTTTCCTTTTTTTCCTTCTTTATCTTTCCTTTTGATGCATGCATGCATGCCGTCATTTTCTAACGATCATCATCTGATCTCGACTAGTAAAAATAAAAATAAATGTGATCTAATTGTCTCGTTCCACATTTTTTTCTTTTGCTTTCTCAAAAATTCTTTGTCTAAAGATAAATAAATATTTTTTTTCCTTCTAATCTTTTTCTCCGATTTATTTTTTCATTCATTTTTCTCTCTTATATCAAGTCATTTGACTCTCTCAATCGGAAGAACATCCAGTATAATGTTTTTTTCAGTCTCTTCTCGTTGTTTACCTTATTCTTATCGATAACTCACAAAGTACGATATAAAGGTGCATTTCGTTATTAAATACTCAATAATATTTCATTTTATATGTGTGTACATATGCAGAAATAAATAGAAGACGAAGAAGAAGAAAAAAAGCTTTTTATTTACTCAAAACGTGTCTCGTCAAGTTCTTGAACTTATTTTTTTTCTTTTTTTTACATTGACATTCTATTTGTTCATAGATACATTTCTTTTTTCTTTTGCACTGAATAATGACATCATCTGATTGTCTATCCTCGAATAATCATCACTCCCGTTTATCATCTATATCACGTTTAAATTTATCTGTACCAGCACCTAATAATACAAATACTGACTCGAAAAATCCTTCATCTTGTACAACAACTCCAACATCAGTCTCACCAAATACTTTTTATACACCAACGTCATCTACTCAACCTCGTTTTCCTCAACCGAATATGTTTGCTTTTCCAAGGCAACCTCCACCTCAAGCACCAATATTAACAAGAAGAAATATACATTTTAAACCTCCAGAACAAGATGTTCTTGATAAGAATTTTTTTCGTACATTCAATATGGAACAAAAAGACGAGACATTACTGAATAAACACTTAGACAAAGTTAATCCTATAGGTAATATTTTTATTTTTAAAGAAATTATTTAATTATAATTATTCTTTCGAAACAAAAAAGGTACAGCATCAACGAGTCGAATACATATCGAAGGTCCAAATCTAATTGATATGGGAATAGATCCTCCTTCAACTGAGTTATTATCATCTGGTAATGTATTTGAATTATTTGATCCATTAAAACAATCTAATCGACCACATTCATGGCCAACGAAATTAAATGAAGCTGGAATAAATACTCCTACTACTACTACACCGCCTTTTGTTACACCAACAGGTGAACCATCACCAGTATCAGCAAAAATACCATCAATATCTTCTCTTTCATATCCATATCCAGTTAAATTACGATTAAAATTAACAACATTTCCCGAAATAAAATCATTTAGTCATCTCGCTCAACAAATTCGAAACGAAAATCAAATAAAACAGGTACATATTGTTTTTTTTTATAATTACCATACTTTATCTTTTATTTACTGACACTTCTCATAAGTACTTGCAAATATTTTTTCATCATATAAATGAATAATAATATCAAGGTTGTCAATCTAGGAGTAAATTTAAAGTAAAAAAGATATACATGATTCATTTTACTCATTAAACTGTTGATCTACATTCTATTGAAATTAAATCTTTTATAAATTGAAGAAAACTTGTTTGAAAAGTAAACTTTATTCCTTTTTGTTTCTTAGACAACAATAGATGAAATATTTTATTGTACACGTGTTCAACGTTTAACTCCACAACATATTGAACAAAAACAATTACCTGTTACATTACATATATTTGTTGATGGTGCCAAAGAACCAATACGTTTAACAAATATAAGTTTACAATCAACAGTATCACATATATTATATCAATTACTTGAATTAACACCATTTGATTATGATAAATCCATACTTAAATTACGTTCACGTGAAGAATATTTACGTAATGAAGATGTTTTATGTGATATTGAATATGTTTATAATTGTATTAATTCATTAAAACAATTACAATTTGTTCTTGTACAAAAACCAACATATGCCTTACAACAAAATCAACAACAAATAAATAATATTAGTTTTGAACAATTTTGTTTAGATCAACAAGGAAAAACTTTTAATACATTAACATCATCACTTGATATACCAAATGGATCAGCTACAGTTAAAAAATCTAGGTAGATTTTAATATTCTATTAAAAAACCTTTGAATATTTTTTTTTCCTTTAATATATTAAGATCACCACATCGATTATCTCATGTTCATCGAACAAAATCTTTAAACGTAAACAAACAAGCGACATACTCACATCAAGCTCATATAGCTCATTCATCAAATGCACCATTTCTTGCTTCTGATCCTCGTTGGCTCGTTGAATTTCGAAAAGATATTAATTTAATACTTTCACAAATTGAACAACGTTTTAATCGTCTTGTTATATCTCATCAACCACAATTATCTATAAGTGAACAAATCAAAACAATTAATGAATTATTAGGTTTTATTAAAAATATTCAAGTTACTTGTTCCTATATTCAATCATCATTAATTGTTGAAAAAGAACGTGAATTAAAAATTTATGCAGATCAATTAATAAAAAAATCACAATTTGAACGTGATCAACAACAATCACCACAAATACAACAGAGTTTAACACGATTACTTTATGATTTACTTGTTACACTTGTTAATTATATACGAACATATTGTCATGCATATCTTATTCCTTATGAAGTAGAAATATATAATGATGAAAATGGTATTATTGATTTAGAACTATTAAAATATCCGGTAAATATTTCTTTTCATATTGAAATAATCGATGAAAAGAATGAATATATATTAATAACAACCCTCTTAAAGTACTTTTTTTTAATTGTAATGATAAAAGCTTTGAATTCCTATTGAGATATAACTAAACCATTGTTCTTAAGAGAAACTTCAACTACATTAGTTTTCATAGGAAGAAAATAGAAGTACCACTTAAGATTTGTTTGAGATATACTATTTATGGAAACGAGTTAATGTCCTTAAAATTCAAAATTTTGCTATGAAAAATAATCCTTGGAGAACGTAACTTCGAATGTATCTGGCAATTTAAGTCAAAAATCGTTGAATAAGGATTCTTTTCTAACAAAAGATGCAGTAATTCTTTCCGACAGCTTCTTATCTTAATGATAAGACATTGATGATTTCAATCTAAAATATAGAACTGGAAATTTGTCTACATTATACATTCCTCTTCTTATCATACGAAAGCGAATATTGTAAATTACAAACTTTTCATTTACTACATTTTTGTATAACAAAAATTTTCTTAGAAAAAAAAACATATGTACCTTTATGATTTAATCTAAAAACGATTTAATTGTTTTTCATAGCCGACAACAAAAGATCTGGTTCCACGTCCAATAACAGAGTCATCGGAATTATTTAGTGTTTATATTGATAGTATATTTTCTTTACGATTTGAATCAAATATAAAAAGTATTCGTATTGTTACTCGTCTTTGTTATGGAAATGAAACTAAAGCACGAAAAATGACTGAATCAATGTCATTTATACGTCATCATCACCATAGTGAAAATGTTGCACTTAAGCCACAAGTTCGTTTTAATCAATGGATTTTATTTGATGATGCACGTCTTTGTGAATTACAACGTGAAGCACTTCTTCTATTTGAAATTTATGCAACTTTTAATGATGAAATTGATTCTTCATCTTCACCAGCATTATCTCATGAAGTATTCGATGGTATTCCAATGTATCTTATTGGATGGTGTTCTCAAGCATTATTTGATAGTGAACATTGTCTTCTAACTGGTGAACGTTATTTAGGTATATTTAATGCACCAAAAACAAATCGTACAGGTTTTTATTCATTGAGAAATGTTTTCGAACGTGATTGTTCAATATTATGTGTTTCATTTCTTGATCAATCATTTATCTGGCCAGATATTCAAGCTAGAAATGATATACATGGAGGAAATTTTACTGAAATAAGTCGTGATAAACAAGAAAATTTATGTCGATTACTTAAACGACCAACTTTATTATTAGTTGATCATAGTGCTATGGCTGGAAATGATAATCGAAAGCAACAATTCTCATTGAACATGACCGATGAAGGTATGACAAATAAAGAAATTCTTAATTTAAATATACATCAAAATCTATTTCTTGTAGTATGTGAAAATGTCTTTAGTTTTTTCCTCAATCTTTTCATACAGATAATGTACATCATACAAATATTTATATTTTTTTAGAACGTGAATTTTCCGAAGATGAATGTCATTTTCTTTGGTCTCATCGTCATTTTATCGTTCATAAATCATATGCATTACCAAAATTACTTAAATCTCGTTCTGTATGGGATTATCCAAGTTTAATTGATATTTATGCACTTCTCAATGAAGTAACACGTGATCGTACAATCGATGAAATTGAAGCATTTGAACTTTTACTTCCAGCATTTCCTGATATGCATATACGTTCATTTGCCTATCAATCATTAATAACACATTTAACAACACATGATCTTCTAATATATTTACCACAGTTATTACAAATAATTAAATATGATTATAGTCATTCATCAATTCTAATTGAATATTTACTTAAACAATCATTAATTGATCATCGTTTAGCACATAAATTATATTGGCATTTAAGACAATTACTTATAACTGAACATTTACATTATATACGTTATTATTATTTATTTTTATCCTTACTTTATGTATTAGAAGAAAATTTTCGTGTAGAATTACAAAATGAATATGACTTATGTTTAAATTTAAAAAGTATTGGTTTAAAATTAAAAACAAATAAATCAAATAGTAAAGGAAATCTTTTATTTGAACAATTAAAAGAAATGAATAATGAATTTTTTCAATCGGGTAAATTAACATGTCGTTTACCATGTCAATTTAATTTTATGACAAATAGTTTGGATGTAAATTCATGTTCATTTTATAATTCATTAACAGTACCAATTAAACTTGTATTTAATCCTATTGATTCATCATGTGAAAAATATTATTCAATATATAAAATAGGAGATGATTTACGAGTAAGATTTTTTTGTTTTGTATATGAAACAAAATAATTTTTGTTTTTTTTGTGTATTTTGTCTAGCAAGATCAAATTGTTTTACAATTATTTTCATGTATGGATAAAATATGGCAAGCAAATGATTTAGATTATCGTTTAAGTTTATTTAATGTTGTACAAACACAAGAACGTTGTGGATTTATTGAAATGATAACTGAAAGTGAAACATTAAGAGAAATTGAATCACGTTCAGGAACGATTAAAGGTTCATTTGGTGAATCAGCTTTATATGATTGGTTACGTTTACATAATACAACGGAAAGAGAATTTAGTATTGCCATTGAAAATTTAACATATTCATGTGCAGCTTATTGTGTTGCAACATATATATTAGGAATTGGTGATAGACATAATGATAATATTATGGTTAAACAATCAGGACATTTATTTCATATTGATTTTGGAAAATATTTAGGTGATACACAAAAATTTGGATGGTTTAATCGGTAAGTTAATTCGAAATAGTATCATATCAATTGTTTGATCTTGACATTTTCTTAATAGAAGAGTTAATTAATATCTTTTGATAGGCTTATAAGTAATTACTTGTCTTTAGGATGTAACTTGGTGAAATACTGAAAGTATAACTTAATGCTCTGTAAACTCATTCTTAAATTATATTTGATTTTTTGCTTTAATTTTTGAAGATGAATTATCAGTAAGGAATATCTTGCAGAAGTACTTTAGAAATATGAAATTTGATAACAGTGTTTGTTAATGGACTAATACAGTTAATATATATATATTAATTATATTTCGTGAGTAATGTTGATGATAAATCGAATATTCATAATAATTATTTTCTCTTCTCTTTCGTCAGTTAACTTTAAACTCGATTAGAGCTTACTTCTAAGAATGCGTTTATTTCATATTAAAAAATCTAAATAACTTTTATTTAGTGATCGTGCTCCATTTGTATTTACCAAACAAATGTTATATGCCATGTCTGATGGTGGTACATCTAATGATGCATTACATCGTTTTGTTGATTTATGTTGTAATGCATTTTGTACAATACGTCAAAATTCTTCTTTACTTCTATTACTTCTATCTCATTTATGTTCATCAAATGTATCGAATCTTAATTATGATGCTGTCCGATTTGTTTATGATCGTTTATCACCATCAACGAATTATGCTGATAGTATAACAAATTTTACTGGACTTATTGTTGATAGTTTAAATTCTACATGGACAACATTAAATTTTTTAATTCATACATTTGCACAAACATCAAGTTTAACTGGTTCATCGAATACAATGCCTATTGGTACAACATTATCATTTATACCAAAAACATATACCATAGCTACAGATGGAAAAATAAAAGCAGCACAAATAGTTAGTTATGAAAAACGAACACATCCAACGAAACATTATATATTTAAATTAAAAGTTGAACGTGAAATTCTACATGATTCTACAATGATACAAAGTCAAACTAATAAACCTTCACGTGTAACATATCATTATCGTACTTATAATGAATTTTATGAATTTTATGAACGATTAAATAAACAATTTCCATTAATTAATTTGGAATTGAAATTTTCTCGACAAACAGAAGATAAAATAGTTGCACAAAGACGTGTGAGTGATATGAATGATTTTCTTGGAAATTTATTTCGTTTAACAAGTGAAGTTGTTGAAGTAAATTATTACAAAAATTAAAGTTTCTGTTTTTCTATTTTTTCTTTCTTTTAGTCTGATCTTGTTATTACATTTTTTCATATGATTCAACAAGATCAACAGCTAAATGATGCGAAAGAAAAATCTACTGATGGTAAATTCTTATATTATTAATATCTATACAAAATATTTTCTATATAAGATTTTTCATCTCGTTCAATTTACGAACCACCCTCCAATAATCATGCAAAAATTCGTTTACAATTAAAATATGATAATGGAAAATTATTTGTTATGGTTCGTTATGCAAATAATTTGGTAAAACAAAACATTCTTTTTTTGTTTTGTATTAGATTATTTATTTTTTTTGTAGCCATTAATTAATAATAGTGATCCGAATCCATATTGTAAATGTTATCTTTTTCCAGATGAATGCAAATCAACGAAAAGAAAAGGAAGAACTGTAATGAATTCACGAAATCCAATTTTTAATGATACGGTAATGATTAACTTACAGATTTTTCGTATACAAAATTTGTTTTTAGTTTACATATCAAATGGATTTATCGGAAATTCAAAAGTGAGAATTTATTAATTAAATCTAAAGAAATTTATCTTTTACTTAAAATTTAGACGTCTTCTTCGTGTAAGTGTTTGGAATAATGTGTTAACTGCTGGTAATCAAGTATTGGGTGAAGTTGATATTGTACTTTCTCAAGTTGATTGGTCAAAAGAAAATGCTCGTGATTATCCATTAGTATATCATCATAATTCATAAACAAAAAAACGAATTTTTCAATTCCATGATGTTTATTTACATAAAAACTTTAAACCGGTAAATTGAATGAAAACAATTTGACGGTTTCTTCTTTTTCTAATCGATTCATTTATCTTTTTTCTCTCTCTCTCTCGCTCTATCTCGCGTTTCTTACTTCCAGTGTATTTGTATATACATATATATTTCAGTTGTGAAATTTACTTTTTAGTCAGTTTTCCTAACCATTTTTTTTTTTCGTTTAATGTGATTCTATATGGCAACAACATACAAAAACAAATCAAGCGAAAAATAACAAAATAAAATTTTCAGGAATAAAATAATAAATTTCCTTATTTCAGATAAAATTCATGTCTAATAATCGATATACACGTACGACAACTGACGTACTCAGTTTACGCTTTAATCAAGATTCAAGTATAGAATAGAAGAAATTCATTTGTTTAAATATAAAGATTTTCTATTTATTTTGTAGGTTGTTTTATTTGTGCTACATGTGATGGTATTCGAATATTTAATGTTGAACCATTTGCTCAAAAAAGTTTTCTTGGTAATAATAAGAGAAAACGAATATATATTTTTGAAATTTAAAACATCTGCGTTTTCTTAATTAGATGTTGGACGTGTTACTTATGCCGAAATGCTTTATCGTACAAATTTAATTGCTTATGTACCAGCTGATCATGTAACTGGTTTACCATCAAATGTTGGTAAGAAATTCGACATATTTTCATTACATTTTCTTCTTAAACTAATTTGTTTTAGTTAATGTATATGATGATGAACGAAAAACACATGTACTCGAACTTTGTTTTAGTTTATCAGTTGTTTCTATACGAATGTCAAGAACAAGGTTTGATTATATTTATTAATATTTTCTCAATATAAAATTTTATTTTGTAGACTTATTGTTGTACTTGTAAGCAAAATTCATATTTTTTCTTTCCCGAATCAATGTCGACTCTTACATACAATTGAAACACGAGATAATCCAAGAGGTATTTACAAAGAATATTATTAAATTAATAATTTGTTTGAGTTTTCTAGGACTTTGTGAATTATCAAATAATGATGGAGCATTACTAATTTTTCCTTTTAATGCAAAAACAAAAGGTGGTTTTGTACAATTTTTGGTAAGTCAAATGAAATAATTCTAAAATACAGTATATTATTGAGAGGGCAGGCGTCACCCACTCAAAATTTTGACATAATATGTATCCTATTATAGAATGTTAATCTATCTTTTAAAAAAAGAGAAAATAACAGTCCTCCTATTGCATTGTTTTTTACTTCTTAGTGAAAAAAAATTCAATTATTTGATATAATTTATTTATAATAATCATGTCCTATTTCAAAATCAAATATAACAGTAGGTCGCTGAGAGAAAAAGAATGATAATCATATGTGCGTAATTACAAAAAAAGGAAACATTGATGATTATATGTTATATGAAACGATAATCATTAGCGCATCCACCTACTTATGGATTAGAAGACAAGAATAGTACATTAAGTTTGATATGATATAGATGTTGGATTATTATTTAAATATGGAAAATTTGTTGTTGTTGATGTATTGAAAAGATACGGAATCGAATTTGTAAGAGAATACGGAGTTTGATTAGGTAATAATGCTGATTGAATATTTTGTCTATGAATTGAAAAATAAAAAATAGAAACAAAAATATTAATTAACTTACGTTCGATGTCTTTGTCGACGATTTTTAAACCAATTATTAATTTGTGTAATTGTTAAAGTAGTTTTTTTCGCTAATAAACGTTTCTCATCTGATGTTGGATAATGATTTAATTTAAAACATTCTCTTAATTTTTCTCGAGATTTTTCTTTGAAACAATAGATTGTTTCATCACCATCCCATATAGAGTTAGGTAAAGGATATTTTCGTCTTAAACGATATTTATCTACAGCACTTAAAAGTCTTCCACGACTATTTTGTGCTTCCATATAATGTGCTTTATACCATAATTGTTGTAATTCTGAATGATAATAAGTATTAAATGAATGTGTTTCTAATAAATAATATAATTCATGAAATTTCGATTGATGATAATAAATAAGTGCACGAGATTTTAAAATACTATCATGTTGATGAATTAATATAGAATTAGGTGAAGAAGATTTTTGTGGTAAGAATTCTAAAAACTTAATTAATTTATCAATTTTACCACTTTGTTGTAGAGCTTCACATATACAAACTAATTGATCGAGTGTTAAGATTAAAGATTGTTCGATATTATTGGATGATAGTTTAAGAACGATAGAAGTTTGTGAAAGAGATGATGTTAGATTAGAATGTAATGAATCAATATTATCAATTTTTTCCAATGGATTCGATTGAGGTATATAAGAATTTCGATAATAAGATGAATGAGAATATGTATCTAACTGCATAATAGAAGAATTTATTGAAGTAATCGATTTCTTTTATATATAGAGAATAATGTTTTTCATGGATAATTTTTTACTTCCTATTAATGATAGAAAGAAAAGATGATTGGTTAAAAAAGCGTATTGGTGGAAGAAGTTATTTTTTTTCAGTGTAATGACGGATGGTCAAGTGTGTTCGTACTGTTGAATTTTTGAGAGAGAGAAGGGCAGATCAAAGGAAACGAGATGTATTGTTGAAGAATAAAAACCTGTAATTTTCCACTTGGAAGGTATAGTACAGTATAGTTTCGAAAAAAAATTTGAAATTCAAGTAGAGACACGTGTATATATAAGTCAATGGAATTTCAACTAGAAATAGTTATTTAATTGATAAGTATCATGTAGAAAAAAAAATATGCTATTGGTTTGATATTCTCGACATTTCTCTTTATAGAATATGAATGGAATTGAAAATGATATGTCTTATAATCCACGTATAATTCAAGCTCATACAAGTGAATTAGCAGCTATTGCATTGAATCATATGGGTACATTATTAGCTACTGCTTCTAAACGTGTATGTTATTTAAAAAATCATCAATGAAAAAAAAGCAATGATTTTGATTTTATAGGGAACTTTAATACGTGTATTTTCAACAACAGGTTTATGTGAAAAATTATATGAATTTCGTCGAGGATCTGATACAGCTGATATTCATAGTATTGCATTTAGTTTTGATTCAAGTTTTTTATGTGTATCAAGTGATAAAGGTACTGTTCATTTATATGGTATACGTGATCCAAAATTAAATCGAATGGTTTCAATTCAACATGCACTTAATGAAGCATTTGGTGATTTATGTAATTTTAAAGTAGCTATTGAATGGCCATGTATATGTGCATTTTCCGGTCCAAGTCATGTTATTGCTGCAAGTTTTGATGGAACATTTCATAAACATATATTTACAACTGATGGTAAATGTAATCGAGAAGAATTTGAACTTTATCTGGATGGAATTGATGGATGTGATTTTTAATATTAATATCCTTTTGCTTCTTTTTTTTCTTTTGTTCTGTATATTATGTTTATATGTATTATAATTTCCTTTTTTTGTTTTTTCTTCTTTTTTTTTCACGAATATGAGACAAACAGTGCTATATGAAAAAGCAATAAGTAAGAAATTTATTGTATCAATCCATAGTCGATGTCGAATGTTTTCTTTTGATACATTTTTCAATAATTAATGTAGTATTGTTCGAAGATTTCAATTGATATTTTACTGATAAATACTATGAAAAGCTACTCATTTATGACCTATACTCGAAATGATAAACATTAGTCTCAACAGATCTTATTTATCAGTAAAGTAACAATTGAAAACAAAAATATTAATTATCTCGACCGCTTTTTGCTTTGATTTATCAGGCCATTATTAGCATCTTGTTTTTTTTTTATTTAATAAATACTTCTCATTGAAACAGATATTCATATATAAATACACTAACCATCTATATCACATATTGAAAGGTGTCTTTCCAGTGGCGAGTCCAGGATTTTGAAAACGTTATATCTCAATTTAAGAGCATGGGACCCATATGAAACTTATGGAGGATGATATCGGATCCAAATGAAAGATTTCTACGAAAACAAATTTCATTTTTAAAATCGCCCACCCCGCTAGATACAAAAGAAAATGGAAGGGGCGATTTTAAAAATAAGATTTTTTTCGCAAACTTCAAAGGAAATTTTTTTTCGTAAAAATCTTCCATTTGGGTCCCATGCTCTGAAATTGAGATATAACGTTTTTAAAAATCCTAGATCCGCCACTGTGTCTTTCATAATAAATTGAGTGCAATGTCAGATTTAATTTATTCCGAATATGTTTTTCGTTCTTTAAACTTCATGTCAATTTTAATAAATGTAAAGAAAAATTTGAATATGTAAAATATTGTCTCGTCATAGCATCGTGTATTTATTTTCTGTATGTCAATAAGTGACCTCTGTCGATAATCACTCGCGTTGAATTTTAATATGTCTATCACCATGGTAAATGATATAAGATGAATCGAGAAAATGGTTTAAAAAGAAAATGAGAACAGAAAGTGTTAAAGAAAAGAGTTTAGCAAAGGAAGCAAACAAAGTATTTAAAAGGACGATTATGTTGCTATCGGCAAAATCATAATTAGGGGCTTCAAACTGTTAATAGTCATATAAAAAAAACGTACCGAAATACATCGATCAATTATTGATAAAAAAAATTCTTTCGTAAAAATCTTATTTTTTTCAACTATATTAAAAAAAAGAAATAATTGGCGATGAAACATATACCAGCTAATGTTAAAAATAAGTATGAAATACTTGGTGTTATCGGTGAAGGTATAGATTTGTTTTTCCCTATTTCATAAATAATTTTCTTTTTTTTTCAATTTCAAAAAGGTTCGTATGGTATAGTGCTTAAAGCTCGAAAAAAAGTATGAGATAATCATTTTCATACGCAATAAAGAATATATATCTATTTCTTTTATTAGGATACAAATGCAATTGTTGCTATTAAACAGTTTAAACAAGCTCCAGCAGGTTTAATATTTTCAAAATAATAATTTTTCTTTATAATTTATTATTTTAGGACATTATACAGATATGGATATAATTGAACGTGAATTAAATGTTCTTCAATCACTTCGATTTGAAAATGTTGTAGAATTAATTGAATGGTTTCGTCATAAGAAACAATGTTTTCTTGTATTTGAATATGTTGAATGGAATATGTTACAAGTTTTACAAGAACATCCCGATGGTTTAGCATTAGAACAAGTACGTCATTTATCATCTCAATTATTTAATGCTATTCATTGGTGTCATACACATGAAATAATTCATCGTGATATAAAACCAGAAAATTTACTTATATCAAAAAATTTCATATTAAAATTATGTGATTTTGGTTTTGCAAGATTTTGTAATACACAAACAACAGCTGATTTTTATACTGATTATGTAAGAAAATTTCTATATTTAAAAAAAACAATATGAACAAGGATTTTTCTTTTTCTATTTATTAAAATTCAAGGTTGCAACAAGATGGTATCGATCACCAGAATTACTTATCGGGTATGAATGAAAGATTTTTGAAAACAATAAGAGGATTTAAGTATTAAAAATAAAACGTTCTTTTTTTTAATCAGTTTATGTACAGTACTCACAAATGATGCATTAGAAATAAGCTAGATAGTGTGAGTGTCTGTTATCTTTTTAATTCGTTGTTCTTGTATTGTAGAAGAACAGTCTGTTTTTTAAGTTTGTCAGATTAGAATATCGAGTACGTAATTTTAGCTTAAAAGTTTTTACGATCGACGAGAAGTTGTATGTTAATTTACGTACGATTTCATTTAATATACTTCAAATGTATGTTTTCTTTTTTATTTTTGAGGTTAAGAGAATGGCGAATATTAAAAATGTTTTCGAAACTTCTACGACTTCTACTAGATGTTACTATACCCTGTCAATAAAAAAGAAGAAAAACAACTCGTATTTTTAGATTTATTAGATGAATAAACATTGAATTGCGTAGATTTTGAACATATACATAATCTTAATCTTATTTTTAGATCACCTTATGGAAAACCAGTTGATATCTGGGCATGTGGATGTATGTAATAGATAATTGAGTATCTTTATAAATAAAAATATTTTATTTTGTTCTAGGTATTATGGCGGAACTTGCTACTGGTCAAGCATTATTCGGTATTCTATATATATTATATCTTTGTTTTATTTTGTTTTTATAATAAAATTCTTTTAGCGGGTGAAAGTGATATTGATCAACTTTATCGTATTCAAAAATGTTTGGGACCATTACCCTCGAAATATGTAGAAGCAATGAAAACTAATCCAAAATTTGATGGATTAAAAGTATTTGAAAATTATTTTAATGTTTTTTTACAAACGTTTTGACTAAACAATATGTTTATTTTAGTTTCCACCTATTCTTCATTTAGAAACATTAGAGCGACGTTATGGTCATTTATTTCCACCTGATGTTATGTCTTTATTTACAGTAAAAAATTTGATTTTTTTATATTAGTATCATTATTATTATTATTTTCTAATAGGGAGCTTTACGTTTATATGCTCTCGAGCGTTTAACAGCTGAGGCATGTATTCAACATGAAGCTTTTACTTATGCCAGTCGAAAACAACGGCAACGACGTTCACGACAACAAAGACCGTATATAAAATTAATATATATCTATAATAAATCATAGACAATTCTTCTTTTTTTCTAGAAAAACTGTTGTTGGTATAATTGATATATCTCAATCACAGTATGATCCTAGTAATGATACGAGAAATTTTCCAACATCTTTTGGTGATAGTCGTTTAGGCAAATAGTATGTGAAAGAAAATATAATAATTTCAAATTTGATACGATTTTGTCTTTTGAAAGTCATGATAATCATAGTGATATTCAACTTCGTCGTCGATCTCCAACATCATCTATTAATAATGGTATTGATAGTGGAACAGAAATATCAGCTATTCCTCCGTCTTCATTTGCTTCACAACCATACAGATATCGTAGTAATACACAAATGACTGATCGATCACATACATCTCATCAACAACAACAAATAAAAACTAATCCAACACAATTACGACCGCATTCATCATCTAGTGAAGAATGTATTCAACCAACTTCTGTTGATCTAATTAATTCTAATGGTGCAAGTGCCGATGATGATGATGATGACGACGATGATCCAAATAATATTTTCTCAAGTCATAATAATCAAAAGCGGAAATATATTAAAAATCTTCAAGCACAACATCTACCATCAATGCCTCTAAATCAACAACAATCACTACCAATTACATCTTCAACATCAAAAAATGTCTTATCAAAAACTAAACAATCATATCAAAAACAATCAAATCGTATTTTACATAATTCATCTAAAGATGCAGGTAAAAAACATAAACGATTTACTCTTGATTCATATGAAAATCGTTATTATCAACAATTTCAAACGGTATTAAACAATCAACAAGTTCCAGAATCTAATATTTCTCGTCTCTCAATGGCTGTTGTACCTAGTCTTAATATAAATGCATGTGGTGTTCCAACAAATAATAATAACAGTCATAATGTATCATTATTATCATTTAAACAATCACAGTCAAGAGAGGAGTCAAATAGTGATATACAACAAAAACCAAAGGTAAATTTTCAATTTTGATTACTGAAATAATTTATATTTTATTTTTCTAGACACGAGATTTAGTTCGTAGTCGAACAGTTGAATGTCATCCATCTACAATTATATCTGTAGAACCGACACCTAATTTTCAACGAGCACCTTCAAGACAAACTGTTGTTTCTGTAAGATTCATTGAATTATGATATTCATTTCTATTCTTATAATTGTAAATCTTTACTTTCAGCACCATCAGATGGTACCTGATCCAATGGATCAAACAGATGTCGAGACTACAGGTTAGTAATTGATCAGTATGTTATATATACAATTAAAATTCTGTTTATATATAGTCTCAGCAACATACTCTACTACTCGTAATCTTGAACAACCAAATATTAATAAATATACATGGTAAGAATGTAACAAATTTCATGTTATAAATGAGTTTTGAAAAGATTTAATCGATTGTACACCAAAGCAGAAAATATATTACTTATATTTATTTTCTATTATAGTAATCTGGAATCACGAAAGTCTACATATGCAAGTGATAGTCATTTGATAAACTCTACTGGATATACTTCTTCTTTTAGTCGATCACATGTAAGTTTATATCTATTCGAAGTGTTTTATTTAATCAACTTCCATATAGTTTCCTCCTACTAAGGGTGATTTTGCTCAACTAAATAAAATTCTCCAAGCACCACAAAGAGTAAGTTATCAAATTGCTTCTTTTCTTCATTCTTTTTTTACTTGAAATTAATCATAATAGGAAACAAATCATGATCTAATCAAATCTGCTAAAATATCAACAAAACATAACAGTACACTTTTCCCCAAACCACCGACAGAATCAACTCGAGTAAATAAAAATAAAATGAATCTTTTTATTTTTTTTTACTCTTTCTTATTTTAGAGACAACAATTAAATACTACTTTTTTCGGTGTTCATGCCTACGCACGAACTGCTTCACAACATACTATAATGTCAACATCTCAACGTCAACAATCAATTCGTTTACCAAGTACAAAATCCCGTCTACATGATCGTTAATTCAATTCTATTAAAATACACAAACACAAAAAAAAACACAATTTTCTGTTTCTTTTTCTTTTTAATTTTATTGTTCGTTTACTTGATGACATCTTTGTGCATATTTATTGTATTATAAATGAAATAATGGATAAGTCTGATTGTTAGTTATGTAAGAAAGCGACAAATAACAGATGAATTTTTTTTTACTATTGAACTACGCTTTTTCAGTTATAATTTCTTTCATTTTTTTCTTTCTTCTATTTGATAATATTAAGTTATTCATATCTTCATAAGTCTTTTATTCACATGGTTGATTTTGATAAAAACCTTTTTTTTCTATTGTGAATATATACATTGTATTATTTAAAGATGAGTGCAAAATCATCAAGTCGTACAACAGGACAACAATCGGCAGCACCGTCATCGCGACCAAGTACACGAACGCCTAAACCACAAACAGATTATGCAGATCAAGAAGAAGAATATAAGTAAATATGACAATACATATATACAATAATAGAAGACAATTTTTTATATTTAAATAGACGATTAAATGCACAACTTGAAGCAAAAACACAAGCACTTGTTGAAGAAGCTGATCAAGTATTGGTTAGTATCAATTCACTATGAATTTTATTATTTTATTCTGATTTTTTTTGTGTATTATAGAGAAATCAAGATCGATTACTCTCAGCAGATACACATGATCGGAATTACAGTTTACTTGATCAAGTCGATACAGATGAACAATTATTTAGGTTAGAAAATTATAATTGACACTTATATGATTGTAATTCTTTGAATGTTATATATATAGAGATATGCAGAGTGCTGCATTGAAACCAACTGATGTTAGAGTAAGAATTTAAATGAATATGAAGATATCCTTATTATATGTATATAGAGAGGACATACTCCATCATCACAACAACAACAAAATTTATCGGCACGAAGTAGAAAACCATCCATTACGTAATCTATTCTCAATGATTTTATCGATTGAATAAATTATATAATAGTTTTTGTTTATTTTTGTTAGAAAACTTCAATCAAGAACTGGAAATGAAGTTGCTCTTGTTAGTGATGATCGATATGATCAATCAATTGATCGTACAGTTATACAAGATAAAGCTCGAAGTACATTCGATAAAGCCGTGGCTGATATCGAAACAAAAATGAATCGAACTAAAATGAGTGCCAATACAAATGTTATGGATCTTGATGAAGATGATATTTTCCCTGGAGCTGCAAAAGATATGGGTTCTGGTAAGATGGTTAAACAAAAACTAATTAGTCAATCTTCATTTTTTCTTCTTCTTGTATTTTAGAGGCTAAAATTCGTTTCCTCAAAGCACGTCTTCGTGTTATGCAAGAAGAACTTGAAAGAATGCAGACAGAATGTACGAGACGTGTAAGTTTCGAACATATACGAAAATCTATTAGAATTCTTCTTATCTTTTTCGATGAGAAAATTTAATTTATGTAATTTTTACTTTTTATTTTGAAGGAAGAAGAAAATGAACGTGTAAATTTAAAAGTAAAAGAATCTGATGATGATCGAACACGTCTTAATCGTGTTATAACAACATTACAAGATCAATTAGAAAAATATAAAAAAATGAGTAGTGATACAAAATCTAAACTTGATACAACTGAAGTTGAACTTAATTCATTACGAAAAGAATATGATCAAACAAAACGTCAAACAAAAAAACAACAACAAGATCAAACACAAACAGATACAAAATTAAATCGTGCTTTAGAAGAAGCTGAAAGATATAAACAACAATTAAATAAAATGCAACAAACAACAAAAGATGCAAGTGAACAGGATAAAAAGAAAATTGAACAATTAACTAATGAAAATCGTCGACTGGAAAAACAACGGTTAGAATTAATGAATGCGTTTAAAAGACAATTAAAATTAATTGATATACTTAAAAAACAAAAAGTTTGTTTCTCGGATTTTCTTTATATATTTATATATCTATACTTTTTTTATTCTATATTTAGCTTCATTTGGAAGCATCAAAAATGCTTCAATTTGCTGAAGAAGAATTCTGTAAAGCAATTGAATGGAATACTTCATAGTTCTATTTATATGTTCTATATCTATTTGTATGTGCGAAAAACAAATTTAAATAAAAATAAATCTCACGTTTTTATGTGCATAATCACGAAAGAAAATAGTTAATATATCTTAGTAGTTATCACCAAAGAGAATCAAAATACTAGCATGCATCTTTCATATAAAGTCCTTGGTTCATTATAACTCGAATGAAAATATATTTTTTTAAATGAGAAGAAGTACATTTAAATATTAATATTAGTCATTTAGTAAAATGTCTCTACGAAATATTTTCCTTGTTCTTAATAATTATTATTTTACTGGTTTCTGTCAAATATTTGTAGTGCCAATTCACTTAATTTAATCATCAAAATGGTGAGAACAAAACTTTTTTTTGTACAAAAACATGAAAGAAAGGAAGAAAGAGAACCATACAAGTGCACAAACAAGTTACAAAAAGCCGAAATATTTTCTTTTGATCATTTTGAAAGTTTACTAACAATATAACTTAATGCACTGTCTGTCTTTATTACGGACTCATCATTTCTAAAAGATCGGCTTCATATCTACGATCATTCAAATGATCTGAAATCTCTAGGATATGTTGCGGTTGTGGTGAAATTTGTAGTTGTATACCATGACGTTTAACCGCAATATTCACCAAACAATTATTAACAGTAGTTAATTCAGCAAATCAAATTTCTTTGTTCAGACTCGTACTAGATTCTTAAATACATTTTATTAAAAAGTGCATGTCAGAATGCACTGCAGTACAGAACTCTTTTATTCAATTGTTACTTCTTAAGTGGAAAAAAAGAATTACAAGATGAAGTTCTCATGAAACCCTCAAAAACTAGGTGTCTATTAATGTTAGCGTGTTTATATACAATAAATAAAAAAAGACAGCGTATTGCATTGCAGTCTGACAGGCTCTTTCAAACAAAAAACAAAATTTAAATATATTAAACAAGTCTAGACAGAAATATAGGATAGGTGATTAAATATCTAAATCGAGAAAAACGCCTGTGTTTAACCCTTTCCGCTCGGATGTTACTAAATGGCAACATTTTGCCGTAGGAGGGTACGGTATCGATTTGAAAATCATGTTGTCTCTGAAAGATTTGAAGACGATCTATCTTCCCATGCATTTATCTCAATTTTGGATCTATTTTCTTTTAAAAATAAAAGTTTTATTCTAATTCAGAAATATTTCATTCATATTCTCGTTATTCCTATATTAAAATATTACCTATGATTAATAAATCTGTGAATATTTCAACAACTTCATCACATTGCTGAACATCTTTTATTGATTAAATCATTCTAATCTTTATCTTCATTATTCAAATATTCTTAAATCATAATATAAAATTAAACTATCTAGATACTAAACTTCTCATAGATCTTTCGAAAAAGTATTTCAAATAGAAAACTTTATCTACCGTTCGTCCAGTAATTATTAAAAGTTTAGAAGATAATTTAATGAATTATTTACAGATTATTAAAATAATAAAAATTTAATATTTACACTATTCATTAGTTCTTACTAAGCTTATTTATACTTTCAATGATTTAAATTAAGAAAAAACAACCAATCTCTATTTTTTTTCTGATTATTTTTCCTGGAACTTTTTTTTCTACTTTCATGCTGAGTCGGAAAATTTTTATTTCTCTATACTTTAATTTTATGAAGTAACTCGTTTCTAAGCAATAATCGTCATCGGTTACTTTTCCTTATATATATATATATCTTTTCTATTATATTTTTACTTTGACAAAAAACAAATTGTTCTCGCTTTTTAAGTTATTATGTCGTTCTTATTCATGAACAAAATAACGATGATGGTTGTGGTAGGCGAAATCGAGAGAAAAAAAAGAGAAAAAAAAAAAAGTTGAAAAGCGATTCAAGAACTCTAGTGGCATACTTCATTCTCGGTTGTGAAGCTTCCTTTTTCTCCGTTTATGTATTCATAGTAAGACGAGAAAGAAAAGTAAGAAAAATTATTTGTGTGTTTTACAGTAGACTTTGTCAAGCGACAATAGAAAAAAGTAAAAAAACAGAACATAATCAGCTGCTAAATATTTTTTCCCGAACATTTCTTTGTTAAAATTATAACAATGAACGATATACATAAAGTAATCGAGTGTGTACCGAATTTTTCTGAAGGTCAACGAAAAGAGGTAATTGATACATGTATAAATATAGATATATTCAATTAAATTCAATATAATAATTTATATTCATAGGTTATTGATACAATTGCTCATGCAATTGCAGGTGTTGAAGGAGTTGCTTTACTCGATATTGATCCAGGGTTATCAACAAATCGAACAATTTATAGTAACAAAAAAATTTCAATAATTATATTCAATTAACTTTACTTCTTTTTAGCGTTTGTTGGACATCCACAAGCTGTCATTGAGGCAGCACTAGCTGCAGGCCGAGCTGCCTATAATCTGATTGATATGACAAGACATAGTGGTGAACATCCTCGAATTGGTGCAATGGTAAGTAGAATGATAATTATGTGTTTAGAAAGGATATTACATATTATTTATGAATTAATATCGATATAAAAACTAGTTTTAATTATTTGAAATAATAAGGAAATTTATTTTTGTAGGATGTTGTACCATTTGTACCCGTACAAAATGCAACAATGGAGGATTGTATTGAAATAGCACGTGAATTTGCTGATCGTTTATCAATGGAACTTAGTGTACCTGTTTATTTATATGGTGAAGCACAAGAACAAGAATATCGTCGAGATTTATCTCAAATTCGTGAGGGAGAATATGAAGCACTTTATAGTAAAGTTAGTAATTCAATTATTTAATAATAGATTATCAAAAAATTTTATATTTTTATTTAGATTCGAAAACCGGAATGGAAACCTGATTTTGGTAAGATTTGATTATCTTTATAGATGTTTTTTTTAATCTATGAAACATAAATATTAAAAGGACCTACGGAATTTATTCCTTCATGGGGTGCAACATGTGTTGGCGCACGGAAATTTTTAATTGCATATAATATTAATTTACTTGGTACAAAAGAACAAGCACATCGTATTGCATTAAATGTTCGTGAACAAGGAAGAGGCAAAGATGAAGTAAATAGTATTTAAAAGCCAAAATTCCTATATGTCTCTATTTTTCTTTAGCCTGGTAAATTAAAATGTGTTCGTGGTCTTGGTTGGTGGCTTGAAGAATCAAATTTAGCACAAATCTCACTTAATTTAACCGATTTTGAAATAACAAATATTCATACAGCTTATACACAATGTGTTGAAGAAGCTGAAATCTTATATATAGGTATATGTGGTTCACAAATTATTGGTCTTATACCACTACGACCATTATTGTTAGCTGCAGAATATTTTATTCAACAAGAAAATTTATTTATTCTTGATGAAGATCAAAAAATTCGTTTAGTTATTCAACGTTTAGGTTTAAATTCTATTTCAACATTTAATCCAAAAGATCGTATTATTGAATATATTCTTCGTGATCGTGAAGGACATGATGATAGTATACATTCAATGGAAATAAAAGAATTAATAAAACATATTAGTGCACGGACATTAGTACCTGGTGGTAGTTGTGTTACATCACTTGTCGCAACACTTGGCACAGCATTAAGTACAATGTCTGCATTACTTACATATGGAATGAAAAAAGTAAAATATATTAAATTAAACTAAAAAAATAAGAATTAAACTTTTTGTTTGTCTAGTGGGAATCATTAGAACAAGAAATGCGAGTTATTATTGTACCATTACATGTAGCAACAAAAACATTGATGAATACATTAGATACAGATACGGAAACTCTTAATGCTTACTTAACTGTACAAAAAATGGCAGAAACAAATGAAGAAGAAAAACGTTTGTAAGTAATTAGAAATTTTTATAATATTCTATAGACAATTGTTATTTATTTTTTAGTAAACAAATTACTGAAAATCGTTGTTTACAACGATATCTTGATGTTTCATTAGAAATTATGCGTCAAATTAATGAATTATGGGAATATCTTCAACGATTAGCACCATTATTTAATATAAATACAAAAGCAGATTTTCTTGTAAATATTAAAAGAATCGAAAATTACAATTCAATATTTTTTTCTAATCATAGGTTGGAATAAAATGTCTTGAAACAGCAGCATATGGTACATGTAAACGTATTGAAATATTTTCTTCATCATTAATTGAAATTACTGATAATATTCATGAGAATGATACACAAACAAAAGTAATCATTAAATATTGTTTAACATAATTTATGTATATATATATTTTTTTCTTTAGATACCACAAAAAAATTATCGCGAAGAAGCAAATACATATTTTCAAACAGCACAAAAATATGTTCAAATTATTTTAACCATAGCTGAATGTCGAAATGAATAGAAAATACTTTTTGATATGTGATATATAGTCTGTGCGCTCACTAGTCTCATTTTCTCAATAAAATAAATCAATTTTATTCTAGTTTGGGTTTTATTATATTAATCATTTGAATTAAATCCATTTGAATAAGTTTAAATACACTTGCTGTCATTTGTTGTGCTAATTGATCTGGACGATAATTTATTGATGATGATGATTGAGGACGAATAACAATATCATCACGATTAAAATCAATAAATAAAGGTTTCCATTGTTGATACCAAAAATTAATTATATTTTCTTTATCGTTATCTTCTAAAAATGATAGATGACAAAGTATACTACACATTTCATTTAATGAACAATCGGCATTAGGAAATTGTGATTTAACTGTAACATTATAAATTATTTTCATTTTAAGTGCTAGAACAGGTTGTGATTCAAAATATGCGATTAAATTTTTCATTCGATCATTATATTGATGAACATATGGAAAAATAAAATTTTCTTCAAGTTTTTCAATAAATAAATCAATATTTGTATAATCAATTGTATTGATAATATCAATTAAATTTGAATGTTCTTCATAAATATTATAATTTTCAAGAAAATAATGTGATAGAGAACGTTTTCGACATACATCACGCATAAATGCTATCCAAACTTCAAATATATGATGATAATTTTCAAGATCATGAATTTCACATATCCATAAAACACTTGTACGAAGAAATGAATTATCTAATGGACAACGTAAATGTTTCATAGTAAATCTTTTAACAAGTGTATGTAATTGCCATTCACTTGCATTAAATTGACTAATTATATGAAATTCAATAAGAGAAAAATCATATTGAAATGAAGTTTTTTTCGTTCCACATGCAACTAAACATATACAATTATTATCTAAAAGTTTCTTCAAACGTTTATGATTTGCAATTCTTCTATCAAACCAACCAAGAATCTCCGGTCGATATGATAGCTGTATAGCTGGACGTATATGACTTATAGTTGATAATAAACTTGATGATGATGCTGTTGATTGTTTTATAATCGAAAATAAAGTTGATTTAAACATTTCATAGAATTTTATTAAACAAGATGATTGATATGCAAGTTGTTTTGGTAAAGGTATATTAAACGCCGGTGCACAAAGTTGTTGAATTTGTTTTTCATTACTATCATTATTCGATGATATAATCAAAGTTTTAAAAATTGTCCACCAATCATTAACATACAATGATTTATGATTTAAACGAGCAGATACTATGTACAAATCAAATGAACGTATTGGATAATGTTTATAAACATCAATATGTGATTGATTTATTGTTGGTTCTGTTATTTCAATAAGACGATCTTCTTCTCGAATAAATGTTGTCATATGATTTGATTTTATAAAACGACATTTCATTTGTAAACCATTAACATATTCTGAGTCATCAACATTATCATCTGTTGAATATAATTCAGGAATTTTTTTTAATTCATCATTAAAACGAAGTTTTTGTATATTTAATTTTGTATTTATTGATTCAATACATTGATCATCATCGAGATGAGCTACAATTACAATTTGTATGTCGCGTTCAAGTTCCATATAAAATACAACCAATCGTTTTTTTTTTCAATGATGTATATATGACTGATTCAAGGTTATTTTATGCTTATTTCATGTATACCGTATGTATATTATGACTAATTAGTATGGAAAGATAAAAAGAAAAAGTATAACCTTGAAAAGAACTTTTTTAAAGGTTTGTATACTATTAGAAATTTTTATTTGATATGATAAATTTATTCTTTAATTAATCAAATAGAATATATTTAAGTAAATTTAAATTATTTTCTTTGTTAAATATACAACCAGTATATTAATTATATAATCAACACTTCTTTTTCTTTGGATACTCAAGCTTAATAGTATGAACAATATGCTAATAATTCATTGATTAATTTAAGATCATCAATACTAAAATAAAAGTAATAACGTATTAATACGAACGCATATAAATATTTACTTTCTGATCTACCAATAGTTTTCATTGTTTCTTTTCTTACTAATAGTTTCGTCTAAAATATCAATGAATATAGTATATTCGAAAACTTTTGATGTGATTCTCGTATGATTTTGTTTATAAAATTAATTAGGAACACAAGAGACGAAAAATTGAATACTTTGCAGATGTTTGTTTAGTTTAAAATTTGATAATAATCAATTAAATTAACTCAAGTTAAAAAAAAACAGATTCCTTTGTTTTTTTTCGAGTAAAAACAATAGTTTATGTAGTGTATCAATATTATTAAAATCACTGTTTTAGGTGACAAAACTTCTTATAGTTAAGTCCGGGATAGTACAAATCAGGCAACAATATCGTGGATTTTTTGAAGTTTTTTCTAAGAGAATGATATAAGAAAGTCGACCTTCGCCGAAGCAAGCATACATTTTCCAAGTTTGAAGATAAAGATGCTATGTCTCCGACACCGTCAGATCACGTTATTTTTGAGTAAAATTAACCCTTGTCTACATAAAAAAAACTTTTAATAAACCCAAGTATTATATTAGGTTGACTATTTAATATTTTATCATTAGTGCATTAAACTATTTATGAAGAGTATCTAATTCAATTTTGATTATTCAACATTAAGGTCATCAGTAATATATTTATAAACAAATAATAAAAATCGTATATTGCATTGAAACAAAAATATGCATAATATGTTAAATGGTTTTTCTTTCAGTTCCATTGTCGCATACAGTTACACTCGAAATTCAAAATTTCTTGATAATTTTCAAAAAATCAAATATTATAGATTTGTCTACAAGTCGCGTACTTACACTTTTTAATATATACAATTTTATCATTTATTTTCGTTTTAACAATAGAAAAAAAAAGCATTCTTCGATAGATTTCTGTAATGTTTGTTAATTTATCATCCATAGTTTTCCTAATATTCTCTAGACATATGGCGAAGATAGCACTCCCAAATCATCCATCATGTATTGTTTTGACAGCTGATATTGTCGATTAATCTGCATTGCTGCTATCACTAAAGCAAACATTCTGAAAATTTCTCCATACAAAAAATGTTACCATCTTATTTTCCAATAATATATTTCGCTAAAAATAAACTCTCATTAGTTGTTCTATTTACGAAATTATTCTAATAATTCTATTTTTATAGAATTCACATACAAAATGAAATATTTGATGCGTAATTAATAATAATTGCATCGACTACTAAAATACTTTACAGATGAATAAACTAAAAGACTAATATTATTTTTGTTCTTATCATAAATACAATTACAAAAATCTGCCAAGCAGATTATCAAAATATTTATAGAAATGATTTAATATCATTCGATATTGATTTTCTGATACTATCAGTAGATAATTAAATTCTTGTTGATTCTTTTTCTTCTAAGTAAGACAAAATGACATCTTATCTAGGTATGTTTACGAAGTAGTTGAGTTGAAGAAAAACTAGAGGAAATATTATCTGATAGATATTATCTAAAATTTCTTACTAATCCATTTCCTATCAAAACAACGTTTTGATAATGACTAGAGTGCCTACTAATTATTAAAACTGAAAAAAAAGAAATGAATACTTAATAACAACTAAATTATTTTAAAATCGATGACTAAAATTTTTCATAAGACGAATATATATATGTTATTACTAAATCAACAATATTAATATTCTTTTTAATATAATATGATACTTTTATCGCCGAAAAGAAAAACAAAGTGTCACCTGCAATATGATATTTTTTTAATATAAATAAATTCATATGAATTAAGACTTCAATATAGCATAAAGTAATAAAAAAATCTTTTTATTCTCTTTATCATGCATAACTTAACACATTATGTCTATTAATAGTATACTCAATTAACTTATATAGAAATATCTTTTGAAGAAAAAGAAAAACGACTGCTAATAAGATTTTCTATTTCATTTTTATTTTCTATTTTTGATTGATTCACAAAAAAAGAAATATCGTAACGAAAAACAAACAAAACGAGACAACAATAAAAAAAAGAAAGTTTTTTTTGTTATAACACAGTCGACCAAAATTTATTGGTATGAACATAAAAATAAAAATAAATTGAGCAGAAATGACAAATCTGTATGTATATATATATGTATAGGAATTAATTTCCACTTGCATTTTTCCAATTTTCACTCGGATCAAGATGAAGAATAGTATTCGTTGTTGTATTAACTACTCGAGTTGGTGTTGTTAATCGAGTACGATTCAATACTGTTCGTGGTTGCATATCAATCTGTGTATTTTCACAAATACTTACAGATTGTGCACGACGTATACCGATTTGTTGATCATTCTATTATAGAACAAAAAAATAAAACATTTTCTTTCTTTTTTTTGTTATATTACGAATTGTTGTGCTGTTAAACTCATTTTTGATGCTGATGGATTTGAAGGAACAATTGAAGCACTAAATTCACTACTACCTTCATCTCTTTCTAATTGATACATTCTGAAAAAAATAAATATTTGAATAAAAATAAGTTTTTGTTTTTTTTCGTGTGTCATTTTTACTTTGCTGATAATAATCGTTGATCATTTGATCTTAATGAAATTTTTGATGCAACACTTGCCGAACGTAAACGTACACGTACATGTGGATCCATTTCATCTTCTTCATCACTTGGTATCATACCTGATAATTCACATTGACGTTCTTGTAATTTAATAAGTAATTCACGAAATTCTCGTCGTAGTTCTTCGAGTTTTGTTGTTATTATTAAACGTTGAGTTTGACTCGATGGATCATTCATATCAACATTTTCAAATTGACTTTTTAATGAAAGTAATTCTTGTTGTAATGCTGTCATTTTTGCTTGAATCTATAATTTGAAAAAAGACAAGAAAATTAATTAAAGAATAAATAGAATTTATATTTACTTCTTCTATTGATAAATCATCAGATAAATCGGATATACTACTAATACTTTTCTTTGCTGGTTGTGATCTTGGTGGTCGTGTTATTCGACGAATTTCACCTGGTATTCTTCGATGAGCAAGAAGATCTTGAACAATTGTTAACTAAACAAAAAATAATTTTATTGATAAAATAAAATCCGTTTGATTTTTTTTTGCTTACTTGTTGACTAAAATATTCAGTAAATAAATGTAAATTAGGCACAACATTTGGATCGGCAATAACAACAAGACGAATTTCATCAGCATATGTTGTTACACAAAGATTAACACTAGCTGTACCAATACATGGACTAAGGCATATTAAACTTCGTACATCTCTATTGCATATTGACATTGTTGCTAAGGCTGTACTGCTTCCAGCAGCTATTGTTGTTAACCATAGACTAGCACTATTATAAATACGAGCTATGATTTTATTTGCTAAAAATATATAAAAAAAAAGAAGTAAGAAAAATAAAATTTTTTCATTTAGATTTTAAATCATACCTAAACAAAGAGGAAATAAAAGATAAACAATATGTGTAAATAAATACATTGTAGCATAATCTCCATTTTCTTTCACACGTTTTGTACTATCATAAAATGACCATAAAAGTGGAATGTTACCTTCAATATTCATAGGTAATTCAAAACATAGATGTGATATTTGATTTCCCATAATTATATTTGCTGAATTTGAACGAAGATCACAAGGCATAATACAATTCATATTTACTGAATTGGATACACTATAGATAATATAAAAGAAGAAAAAGAATTAATGAAGAAGAAAATCATCTATGACATGACATCCTATTCATTTAATCATAATAGTTTTACCCTTTTAACTGAAACATATAAATCTATCTATCTAATCATGTAACATTTCTATATTAATTATATTTAACTTACCCATATCGTTCCATATATAATCTAACAGATGAAATAACTAATGTTGAAAGAAGATCATTCATACGTGTTCTTGTCACAAGTTTCATTCGATTAGCTTGTGTTAAACTAAATGGAGCTGACCAAACAATTTTTCGTTGTTCTTGTGGTTGTAAAAAATGTGAATTAATCGTTGAAATATTATTATTATTATTAACATTATTATGATTATTATTATTATTAATATTAGTTTTCAAAAGTTTTCTTTTAAAAAAATTTTCTCGAAATGAATTAAATAATAATTTACTAAATATAAGCATATGTCCGAATAGATATGCTTTTATATAATCAAATATATATTCATTATGTCTACCAACAAAACGTGGTTTTAAATCTAATTGTGTCGTACGATTATCAACAATATGTTTTAATAAAATACGTAATAATGATATTCCATCAGATAAAACAGGATGATAAAAAAATACAATTATACTATCATTTGGACGTGTGGATGAACGATTTTTATAATGTAATTGCCATAGAGGACGACTACGTGTCAATTCTGTTGATAGTAATGTTGATATGTATGATTGAAGATCTTCATCTGATTGAATTGTACGTGGTATTTCACGTACATGTTCATCAATAGAAAATAGAGAATAATCAACCCACATTGCACCAGATAGACGTGATACAACTAATTGAGAAAATCGTGGAAATAATTTTTTACCAATATTTGAACCTCGTCGAACACTGCTTGTGACAAGTCGATTAATTAATAATTTTTTTAATGAGTTTTCATTTATTGTGCCTTAGTGAGGAAGAATAATTTATAAGTCATGATTTTAAATATATATATGTTACCTTCAAGAAAAAAAATTGCAGCTGCTGTTGGTGATATTGTTTGAGAATTTAATTTCGTTGTTTCATCATTTTTCTCTCGATTGGATGATATATTACTATTATAAAACCAAAATAAATCACTAGCAGATAAATAACTACAAGCACATGGAGTAACATTACAATGATGTCGACAAGCTAATCGTATTAATGTTCTTATAAACCAACAGATAGGTAATAAAAGTGTTAATAATATAACACAAGGTAGTGAAATAAATATTGTTAAACAAGCTGATGATATACGTTGAACAATAAAAATTATTGGTGAACGATCAGCAGGATGTTTAACTCGTTTTATAGGTCGATTTTCTAGATAAGGTGTTGTTACGTGTCGTTGTTCATCAGTTGTTGCTGATTGAGTATAGCCTGTTTTACTACGATTTTGTGTCGTTTGTTGATGAGAACGTGCCATATCAATTGGTTCTACACGTGGTGATGGAAAAAATATTGTCGCTATTAACGGTGGTTGTAATTTTGATAAAGGTGGAGATTGAACAGATAAGTTTTGTTCAATATTATGCTGATAATTATTACCGTCGTATGGAGCAGAAGCTAAGTCAGACACGACTGGTTGTACCCATCGGGTGTCCACTTGCATTGCCTCCTAAATTGAAAAACATTTTTTTTTTAGAAAATAAAGTAATGATTATATCTATATATATATATATATATGTCATGCAATAGCTTTCTCGATGTTCTTTCCTCTCAAGAAGAAAAAAAGGAGAACTTACACTATTTTATTACTTTTTTTTTTCTCATAAAAAATATGCCTTTCACTATTTAAACATATATCTCAATAGGATTTTCTTCTTTTTTTTTGTTTTTTTGTTAACTCGTCGTCTATGCGTTCTTCAACTAATCTTCAGTCACAAATAATAATAATCAGAAAAGACGAGAAAAGAAATTTCTCATAGATAAAAAAAACGACTGATGAAAATAGAAAAAAAGAAAAAAAAAAATCTTCGATTCACTGTTATGACATATACACTCATACGTCTAAATAACGCTTGAAAAATTCTCAATTCAAAGAGAAGAAGAAAAAAAGAAGATGTCACCAACGTTTCTCGAGGAGATCCATTATGCAAATAAAGAGAACTTCAAGCTTCAACAGGTTTTATAATTTTTTTTTTAATAATTTTTTCAACTATATAATCCTTCTCTTTTTTTTCTCTTGAAAGTTATATATATATATAATAGAATTTTATATCTTCTCACCTTGAATAAATTTAAGAGTAGCTTTCATCGATATACAACAACAACCATAATAAATTGTTTTGATGGAAGACAAACTGGCACGCATATTTCCTGTTGCTGACAGATTAACATCGTCGTTGTCGTGTCACCATGCTTATCGGTATAATCCTGAAAAATAGTGAGCACACAACTCAGATCATCAGCATTTAGTTCTATATATAGACATATATATATTTATAAATGTATATCTTATAATAGTACTAGTTCGATTAACAGCTAGAATAACTGAAGCACGTATTACTTTTAGAATAACCAATAGTAAAAACAGATGGTGAAATATTCATTCCTTTCGTATGTGTTTCCTCCTTTTCTTACTAGCTGATCAACAATGGTCATGTGCATTAGAAAGCGAAAAAAAAAACAGAGGAAAAAACACGAATACATGTGTAACTGTCAAGAATAAGTGATAGACAGAAGCAGAATAAAAAAAAAAGAATTATTAACTAGAATAACAAAAGTCTGCTTCGATCAAGGTCATTCTAGCGCATCAGACAACAAGATAATATTCACGGATAATGTGATGTTTCGTGAGAGTATAGACACACACACACACACACACATTATTGTGCTGATAGTAAAATGCATAGTGCTGTCGTCATCAAATAGAACAGAATGAGAGAATATAGATGATAATTAGACAAGAAAAATGCAATATAGATTTACTCATGAATGAGCAAAATATGACTTGACTGCATCTGTTTGTTAGTCATCTGGCACTTTGCTATTCTAGCACACAATTTACTAATTCTATCAATCATAAAACAACCTTTGCTCTCTTGAATTATCTGGTCTTTGTAGTATATGAACTCTTTAGCTTCTTATGATATTTTATTAGTACTATATAATTCTAGACAATAGAATGATCTGATATATATATTCATTGTGAATTATTTCATGCTAATTTTTTTGAATTGATTTATTATTAAAGCTGACTTTGATAGAAACTATTCTTTTTCTCTTTTATTCTCCTTACCTCAGACAATGGTGCTGGTGTAGAGTATATGTCAAACGATGAGACATCATTTCTAACAACAACAAACAGTATCTATATGTTTGTCTGTATGTGTGTGCGTTAGTGTTTCATTCCTCCTCCCTTTCTCTGTCTCTCTGTCTTTCTTCTTCTTCTTCTTTCTCCTCTGTCTCTCCCTCTCTCTCTCTCACTTTGTATCTCTCTAGCAGTAAAGCGAAGAAATCGGAGATGTGGACGCCTTCTCGATGTCTGGTCTAACTGATGGTGGTTGTTCTACGCAATTAAGCTTCCAACACCCGAACATCACCGTCGATGGCACTGCTTGTGTGCTTGACATCGCTACATACTCTTCTTCTCTCGTATTTTTTTTTTTCTTCTCCCTCTTCTGTTATATCTTTACGACGCACTTGCTTGTTGGTTGCTCATCATTCCAATTCTTAACAGTCAGTTGACGCTACCGCCGGTGTGTTTGTAGCATCTCGTTTTCCACCCTTAGCTTGAGTTAGACACACATACGCACATAAAAAAGAGAAAGAAGAACCCGATCCTCTTCTTTCTTTTTGTTCTTTTTCCAAAACGCATTCAATGAACAACACAGTATAGAACGATAACAAAACTTACTCTATCGAGAACACATCACCAAGAATAACAACAAAAAAAAAATAATAACAATGAATGCGAGACTGAAAGAGAGAAAAAAGAAGAAAAAAAA